TTGTTGATCGTTGTATATTATTGAGTAAGAGGATGGTCCTTGAGGTGATGGTGATAAAAAGACTAAAATAGTAAAAAAAGAGTATTTTATTTAAAGCCAACGTTTCGACCCGACTTTTTAGGTCTTCTTCGGGGCTTCGAACAAGTAGGACGAACAAGATACAAAAGGATATAGAAAAATGTGGAGATTACATAATGTTTACGTAAAAATTATGAACAATGAAAATAAACATAAAATTAAGACTGTGAATAGAAAGTACATAGAAATATTAAGAACAAGAAACTAAACGCAGTATATTAACAGCGTAAACGAAGTATAACTAAGTAACAAGACTCTAAACTGAAGTAAATAAATGGTAATAATTATTATATATTATTGTAGATAGGGAAAAATTAAATGTTATAATGATAGGATGGATAGTATATTGGTTGGGTTATCTGATGAATTAAACCCTGAGATGGATTGTTTATCCTGTTTGTAATATGCCAACAACTATATCTGTTAACTCTTGTTGAAACTAGCTTAGTATTGTGTTTGCTAGTGTACTGTGATGAGAAGAAAATGTCATTTATTATCGGCTTATTTTTTTGTATTATTTCAAAAAAAGCGTGCTGCAGAAGCTCATAGAAAAAATTGCAGTGTTTATGCCTCCGAACGCACCTACCAAAATTGGTTTGCCAAATTTTACCCAGGAAATTTTGACATCAATGATGCTCAACGATCTGGTCGCCCATATAAAATTGATACGAGCAATGTTAAGGCCATTGTTGATCGAAACTCCACCCCATCAGTGTGAGAGATTGTTATGGTCCTAAATGTATCGCACACAAACGTAGAAAAACGTTTGCACAAACTTGGCTATGTTTTCAATCCTAATGTTTGGGTCCCTCACATGTTTTTTTTTTTTCGAAAATCACAAAAAATGTTATAACTCCAATACAACTTTAGCTATCTACAAGAAATTTATCAAGAATTTAGGGCCACATAAACTACACAAAATGACATCAACAGAACCTTCGTAAGCAAACTACATAATAAATTATTTACCCTTGGGTGGGATCTTTTGCCCCACCCTCCCTATTCACCAGACCTAGCTCCAAGTGACTACCACTAATTCTGCTCTCTGCATTAGAATTCCATGAATTGAAAGGAATTCCAAAAGAAAGAAGACATCAAAAACCACTTGTGTCACTTTTTTAACAATAAACTCCAGACATTCTATGAACATAGCATTATGCAATTAGTGGAAAGATGGGAAAAAGTCATATTAAATAATGGTCGATATATTGTAGATATTGTAGTTTTATTTCACCCTGAAAAACCGAACGGACTTATTTGCCAAATCAATACATAATTATGAATATAATCCTACAAATCACAAGCAAAGATAGAAAGAAAAAGGAAACATAATAATAAACAATATATAAGAAAAAATGGACCTAAAGGGAGTGTGGGGAAAACGAAAAAAAAGTAAGTAAATATATTAGAAAAATAGAGACTTACGGATGTATGCAGACATCATGGTCTCTCCAGTTTCAAGTAAAACACTATGCTGCATACATCCGTAGGTCTCTATTTTATTATTTTTTTTTTTATCATTAATTTATTATTATACATACTCACTTAAGGTCCGTTATTTCTTATATATTTTTTATTATTATTTTCCTCTATCTTTCCTTGTGATCTGTAGGATTATATTCATAATCACGTATTACATTCAATTTTTCCCTATCTCTAATAATATACAATAATTTTTACCATTTATTTACTCCAGTTTAGAATCTAGTTACTTATAGTCCTGGAGCCCGTGGCAAAAAAAGGTGTCATATTTCGTACTAAGCTTTAAACTGATCATATCCATAATAAACTGATCATATCCACAGACCTGGTGAGAAAAATGCACGTCTGTCAGCATAGAGCCGCTGGAATACAAAATGGCGGCCATGTGAAGATAGGTAATTAAGCAATCAATGATAAGGAAGCTGTACTAACCTTATTGTCGATTGATAAATAGATGGCTATTCACACTCAAGAAGGCAGCGCCTAGGCACGGAGTCGCCACCCCCCGAACCAACGTTGTGTAGGTCAACTCCAGTATGACATACAAAACGACACACCCTCAATGCGGTCTTAGAGGTATTGAACTATGGGCTACGCACAACTTCTGTTATCAATGATACTTCTCCATACCTTTTTTTTTTTTTTTTTTATCATGTTGCCGGGCAACGGCGCTGCTGTGCACCCGCATTAGCCCATTCGGCCACCCCGCCCACTACTTCTCCATACCTTTCACTCTCTTCCTGAAGAAGTTCCAGAGAGGCATCCTCAACACTTGCTGCGGTCTGTTCCATGTTTTCCCCTTGTCCCTTAGTCCGAAAATTCGTAACTCCGTCGAAATTTGTACTTCTACACTCCCTAATTTTCAAAATAACGATGTTATATAGGACAAGCGGCCCAATATTTTTGTAGAGCGCCTTTTTATCGATTTTATGATACAATTACCTTACGATCCAAATAGAAAGCAAATGGATATTTACTAGTTTAGTACCTAATTAAATAGACAAAGTTGGCTCCTCTCTAGATCGAAAACGACCCAATTCCAAGAGTTTTCGTAAATAAAATAGTTGTAGTTTAGGATGAGATGAAACTATTTACGAAGTTTCAGGCGGATGTTAATAATTCGAACAAAAGGTGTCATTACCACGGACTAATAGCAAATGCACCAGTTTCTCTAAGACGCTGAAACGTGAAGCTAAAAATAGACTTCCCAATGCTAATTCCAAATAGTATTAATCCTTATGTTGCCAATAGTTTTTATACAGTTAGGGATAAAAGGCCATATTAGTATTCTATCTAATCCATCTCCTAAACAAAGCGTTTGCGGACATATCTTCACTTTGAACAACATTTAATATGAATGTTAATGTTTACAATTAATTAATAAAGTAGTTAGAACAAATAAATAGGTTTTATTTATTTCATATAACGTAAATAATTCATAACGAAAATCTTTAGGTGTGAATATCTCCTAAACAAAGCGTTTGCGGACATACCTTCAAAGGAAATTTTTTTCTCGTTTTGAGGTCCTTAGTTCATTTTTGCAGTTTGGCCACTTAATCCAGAAACACCCTGTATAAATGATTACTTAACTATGCTGGTATTTTGTTTCTTATTTTTCATATTTTCTATCTGTTCTCGGTATCAAGAGAAATAAAATAAATAGTTTGGTTTAACAATAATGCCACCTTTATCAGTTACCTTTATAGGTGCGTTAAGACATTTCACAAACTATGGAAAACACAATTATCTAACTCAGGGGTCTCCAAACGTTTTGGCCCGCGGGCCACATTAAGACCTTCACTAAGTCCTGCGCATCGTAATAAGTCCTAAAATAACCTCTAATAAGTCCAGTGGGACGGGATTAATGACACTTCTGTTGTGATATGAGCTTTTTTGGTAAAACCACTCATGCAATAAATGTTGTAGCAATCCTGTGTTTGAGTAATTTACTAAATTTTATATTGTTATTTAAATTTAATCGTTTTTAAAATTCTACCATGCGATCCAAGAAGCTTTTACATTAGATTAGAGGTGACCCGGACCGTGCTGGACCGACCCACCAATCCTAGTTTGGAGACCCCAGATTTAACTTAACAGCGACATTATTCCTAAACCAAACTAGTTATTTTATTTCTCTTGGTACCGATAGCAGATGGAAAATATTAAAATAAGAAACAACAATACTAGCATAGTTAAATAACTATTTACGTATTTTTTTATCCCATAGTTTGTAAAATGTCTAAACTCGGCTTAAAATTTTGATTAAAAATAAATTAATGTATAATATATTAAGGTATAAAAACTTTTGATGTATTAAAATTCGTATTTTAAACTTTTATTTATTCATTTATTGTTACATTCCGCATCTAGCAGAGCGGGCCATTTTATACTTTTATTTGTAATAAAAATATATGTACTTATTGTCAGACAGAATATTTTTGAGGAAATTGATAAGAGTGGTATTGATGTTATTATAAGGTGTTTGAATAAAAAAAAAATGTAGAAAACTATTGCTTTTGATTTTTTTTTTATCTCCTATCAGTCCCTGTGTGAAAACTTGCTGTTCAGTGTATATTGTTTTTGATAGCAATGAACAAGAAAATATTTTAAATCATCTTTACATTTTTATTAACAGGAATAACTATGGTTCTGAAAATGTAGAATTGTGCCCCTAAACGCAAACATTGGAAATTTGAAGTTTTTAAAAAATAGATAAGGGAATATTGAAGTTTTTGTGCCAAGAGTTTCTAAAAGCTTATATTTTTTCTTATATTTTTATTTATGTATTATATATTCACTAAGATAGGTACTTAATATAAGATAAAGAATGTCAATGACTTGGATCAGATAAATGTTTATCGGATATAAGTTATGCTTGTTGATCAATATTTAACATATTTTATAATCTTAACTGCTGTCAAAATGTTCAGTGAAATACACTTCAAAACAAAATTTTCAATTTTGATTTAATGTATTTCGGATGAACTCCCTTCTCGTAAAGTGCCAGAAAAGGATTTTTTATATGTATTTATTTATGAACCAAGATTTAATCTGCTTTAACAAAAATTATTTGCTATATCTGATGAACTTTATTTTATAATTGTGTTCGGTATAAATATTGGAGTTGTACAACAAAGGAAATCGTAGTGCATTTAATTTGAATTGTTCATTGCCGTTTTTCATGTGGGAAAATCTCATGGATAAATTATTTTAACAGAATATGAGAGCAAATTATGTCTAAATTCACAATTAGGATTTTTAATTTGCAGTACACATAATAACTTAAACACCTAATATTTTATTTTTATTTTTTAAATAATGTCTTTATTTTCGGATAAGTTTATTTCCTTTGATAATGAAAAAATTAGTTTGGACAATGAAAAAAATGTGAAATGGTTTTGTATCACTTCATCACTTTCTAACAAAATTGTGTAGTAATGAATATCTCAAGAGTTATTTTAACTCTTATTGAATTCAATTAAGCCATTAACATATCTTTTCTTACAAAGTTTACTATTCCAATTCATTAATTCTTGAGGAAAGAAATTAAACAATTAGTTAATAATTTTAATAATAGTCTACGATAAAATATCTTGCCAATGTTTATTTACATTCCGAAATCGATATCTTGTCCATCTCTATTTGTAAACCAACACGTTAAGGTTATGCTAGCGGGGTTCTTGGTGATTACAGAAGTATGGTTGATGCCAATACTAGAGGTGTTTTAGAGTTATTAAAACGATCAGGAAATGATACCTGTGCAGATTGTGGCGCAAAGGGTATGTTTTTAAAACATCTTAAAGATATTTTTTTAATGAAAGAGATCTATAACTTCAGTTATTTTCCAGGACCTGAATGGGCCTCCTACAACATTGGCATTTTCCTTTGTACAAGATGTGCTGGGATTCACAGAGGTATGGGAACACATATTTCGAAAATCAAGCATATAAGGTTGGACAGATGGGAAGATAGCCAAGTTCAGCGGATGAGAGAAATAGGAAATTTAGTTGCAAAAGCTAAATATGAAAAGAGAGTGCCCCCTTGCTACAGAATTCCAACAGATGGAGATCATGAGTAAGATAAAGTTTTTTTTATATTCAGGATATTATTAAAAAGAAATTGTTTAATTGATAACATGTATGCATAAATAAAGACTGTATTTATATAAATAAGTGTGTATGTTGATAACATGTATGCATAAATAAATATTGTATTTATATAAATTAGTTTGTATTTTTAAGTAACAAATATAGAGTTGATATTCATTAATTAAGTGTTTATATTTCTAGCTCCTTACTAGAAGAATGGATCTGTGCAAAATATTTAAGAGAAGAGTTTTCTAGACCTGAGCGTCAGGCCTTTATGACTGGTCATATGGAAGGTTTTTTAATGAAAAGAGGAAAAGAAGATCCCAAATACTATCCTCGTAAATTTATGTTGTCGGAAGTAGACGATACCCTCAAATATTATGTTGATGAGGTAATTGATCACGCTGTTATCTTTTCTCCAAAATTTAGTCAATAATTTACCTCTATATGTTTTAATTTAAGGTGAAATTGTGATTCATAATAAAAGGTTTGGGCTATGTGTATTTCACCATTTTTATTTTTTTACACTGGTAATGTTTCGGCTATGTCGCCATTTTGTAGCGATCTGTAAGATTACAAAAATGATGCTCATTATGTTATGTCCAACATGTTAGATGTTCTGTCCTTGAAATGTTGCCTGTGTATAACAATAAAAATAGCAGAATAAATAAATATGGCCAAAACCTTTAATTAAGTCAATAATTAATTAGAATAATAAAAACACATATTTTGATCACAACAGTCCTATTTTATTTTAATTAATACACCAAAATTTCACAACTTCGCTTAAAATCTTTCCAGTTGTTCGCATCACATGTGACAATCTTCCGGTAAAATCTTATATCAGAAGGGTTTTTCAATAAATTTTCACAAATTTCTAACTTCTTAGCTGATTTCTGAGGATTAAGTTCGTAAGGGACCAGTCTAACACTCTTTCATCTTCCCCTTGGAGTAGATAGCGACTAACAGTATCTTTCGACACATCACACTCCCTGGCAAGTTCGCGAGTACTTTTGGACGAATTTGATTTAACAGCTTCCTGCAGAACCTCATCAATATCCATTAATTAATAAATATAAATCGCCCAGAGCCCTTCTTCCTTTCCAACGTCGTATTTCCACTGCTAAATTTTTCAGACCAATATCAGAAGGGTTTTTGCAGTGCGCTGGTCAAGGACACCTTCTCCTTCATATTTAATAATTTCACGAGTTGCTTGAGCAGCTGTGAAATTTTTTTCCAGTAACACCTTAAAATTACGAGAGTTTCGTTGGACACTCCTGAGACTTTTTTTGAAGAAGTTGAATGAGATTAAATAAGTTTAGAGAATGCTCTAAAGGAATTATTAAGTATTGGTAAGTATTAAAATGTTTACCTCTTCTTCTGGCGCTACAGAACGAAATGGTCCTTGGCCTGTTTCAACATCCGCTGCCACACAGCTCTGTCCTCTACCAAACGAATGCCCACCTGTCACATGTCTTCCACCTCGCTTTTGATCGACCCTTTGCTCTATTAGCGAAGATTTTCCCTTTATATATATTCATCACCTGTCTGTCATTCAATCTGTTAACGTGACCAATCCATTTCAGACTGCTTATTCATAGAAAATTTGACAAAGACAGATTGTTGTAGATGTTATATACTTCTTTATTCTTTCTGCTTTGCCACACTCCATTCTCAAACATTTCTCGCTGAACCCTCCTCTGGAATCTTTTTTTTTTTTTATTTATTTTTTTTTTTTTATAATATAACCCTCTACCCACCATTTGCATCACTCCATTCTCAAACATTCCTCGCTGAACCCTCCTCTGGAATCTTCTTTTTTTTTTTATTTATTTATTTATTTTTTATAAGATAACCCTCTACCCACCATTTCTGGCATACGGGGGATTGTTCTAGAGGTACAACCAAATCTATTCTAACCAGAGTGGGAGGGTCGAGTTTCATTCCGTGTGGCCGCCACGAAATAAGTCAACCACTCCCAGGCCGGATTCGAATTGGCGTCGCTAGACACGAGGATGCTAGACTGGGCAACGCTCCAACACGACCTCCCTCCTCTGGAATCTGTCAAGCCTGTCACAGGTTATCTTGTTCATTACCCAACATTCACTGCGGTAACTAACAACTGGTCTGATTAGAATCTTGTATATTCTGATTTTATTTTGATTAGGTTACTTCTTATTAAATATCGAAATATAGAAGAGCACCTATTTCCTTCCAGAATCCTTCTTTTGACCTCTTCTGTTTCATTGGGTTCATTAGACATTAATGATCCCAGGAACGGAAATGTCGATACTTCGATGTTTTCTCCACCTAAGTTATAGTAAGGTGGGTGTTGCTACCTCATTCTCTCTACAATCATCAGTTTGGTTTTAGTGACATTTATTTCGAGTCCAGCTCTTCACATAAGCTCAAAAATATTAAAACAAACCGAAAATTGAAATTCCAGAAGAGAAGAAGTTGACATGATTAAGAATTGGCCACATTTGGTTGACGCATGACTACGTCGTAGATAAAACCAGACCACCAAAATCTGAGATATCCAGCGTGCAGCTGCCGATTGGACACATTTTGGAAGATTGTCAGATATATCATAGTTACTTTAAAAATTTAAACTTAAAAAGAAAAATTCAAGTAATACTAGGCTACAGTGGTAACAATATTGAAATAGTAATTACATTCCTTAATTAAAGTAATAATTTGTTTAGTAAAATATAATAAAAAAAAGCAAAGAGAAATTTAAAAATTCACCATAGAAAGACATAAGCAATTGAGTGTCTATAAACAACTTAACCTAGACAGTGATTCCATTCAATAGACACAGTTCATTTTCCACTGAAAAATCATCAGGGAACCACATGTGAAACTGAAATTCCTATGCTTCAACAGAAGACTAAAACTGCTATTATTGAGCGAATTCTCTAAATTGAATGTCAGACGATGACTATACCTGTTAAAACCTAACAAGTATGTATAAGCACAGCAAAAAAGACCCGCATGCAAAAAAATAGAAATGCTTCAATAGAAAATAAAAAAATAGTGTTCACCCTGGTACCCTCGCAAAACTTATTACACACAGACTTATGCATACTAACTGTTCAAAACCATATTTATACCTCATATAAACAATTTCACTAAAAACTACAACCCTGAAATGCTCAACCATCATGACCTCATACCTATCCAGTTGATAATTTATTATGTATTTTCAGAGTTTTAATTTTTTATTGCAAATAATTTTTGCTAACTGTGTCCAAAATATAAACATCCTTCCCTCCCTCTGTAGCAATCATTTGGGGTTAGGTTTATAGTAGCACTTTTATATTGATAGAAAAATAATTAGACATATCTATTCTGATCGTTTTCTCAAATCAATAGAGAGAATAGAAATGGATTACAACTTTCACAAACTATAATTGTGATTATACTTTAGTTACACATGTCCTGTTAAAAGTCCTTAGTAAACAAAGTTTAAATTAAAAAAAAATCAAAATGTTATCCTGAATATTGACTTCTTAAGTTTCAGATTATTGACATATTAAAAATGATAAGAATTAATCCTGGAGTACATTCCAATCTCTTCAAGTTCTGTTTGCAGTTTATTTGAATCACATACTTTGTATATAAATGAGTGGAGATTAATTAAATTTTGAGATCAGTGATTTAAATGTTTGCACTATTTCAAATGTTCGTAATTATTTAATTTTTCCTTCCTCTTCTTGCTTTTTACATTAATGTATCAATAACTGACTGTAAATTTGATTGTTCTCCAGAAGTCCCTCATGTTATCATAAAAATTTTTCTTTGGTTGAGTGTCTTCTGTCCACGTTAGTTTTCTTTCTTTTTTCAAAGTAAGTATTATCATTCATATCAACTAGTAGTTATTATTTAATTCCCTTTTGCAATTTGTTATATATAAGTGTGTTTGTAAGGATATTTTCTCATAATGAATAGTTAAACTAACTTTAATTAAATTCAGTATTAAAATTTTATATTGTAACATTTAAATGTTTGAATTATTTTTTTAGAAGAAAGATCCAAAGGCAGTCATGAAGGTTTCGGAAATCAATGTATCTTTTTCTCCTGTCAAAATGGAGAAAAAGAATTCTTTTCAAATAAGTTATCTTAAAGATGGTACCACAAGACATATTTATGTTTATCATGATGACCCACAAACAATAGTGAATTGGTATAACGCTATTCGTTGCACAAAACTCCACAGACTACAGATTGCTTTCCCTACAGCAAGTCAAGCTGAGGTAATATTATTGAGTAGCTTAACTGTTTATAAGCAAATAGCAAATCGGTAGTTGTAGCAATGAAGAGGTGGATGTGACCTGATTAGAATTGTGATGTGGGCCAAGTGCTTTATTTCTAGAAAGTGAATATTGTGTAAATATACTTAATTGTTGATATATATATATTATTTTAGCATATATTTTAGGTTTCTATATATTTAGCATTATTTTAATTAGTAATTATTATCCTTCATCTCCGGTGAAAATCAACCCATATTGAATGGAACTGAAAAGCTCATTTTTGATTCATTCATTTCATATTTTGATTCATTCAGTTATTTTTATATATATATTTTAATATATTTTTTTTTTTTTACTAGCCTGTTACAAGTATGTTTCAACTTTTTTTTTGGGGGGTCCTCCCTCTTCTTGCCTTTAAGGCTATATGGGATCTTCCCGGGCCAGGGAGTGTGGGTGGGGATTTAAATGACGTCCCTGGCATCGGGACGCGAACTCGTGACTATATTTTATGATTGTATCATATATCAGGTTGCCGGGCAACGGCAGTGCTGTGCACACACGTTAGCCCGTTCGGCTACCCCGCCCACAAGTATGTTTCAACTTGTAGACCTCCCTTAATTAATGGGGTTTACGGTTTAACTCCCTGTGGGGACCAGCGATACTGAGAAGTAGGAGCTGGGACTCAATCCCATGATCTTTATTTTACTAGTATTGCGCACTAATCACTCTGCTATATCGGCCCATGAGTTATTAATAGTTTCCAAAGTAGGAGAAATTATTTTTATTGGATCAAAGAAGTAATTAAAAACTGCTTTCTTTCAGCTTGTAAACTTGTTAACAAAAGACTTTGCTCATGAAGGTTGGCTTTGGAAGACAGGCCCTAGACCTACCGATGCTTACAAGAAGAGATGGTTTACTCTTGATCGCAGGAAACTGATGTACCATGAAGAACCTCTGGTGAGATGAAATTTCGAAAATCCGAACTAAACAATGATAGTTTGTTATAAATAATAATTTTAGTGCTCATATATATATATATATATTATATATATATATATATATATATTAATTTGTTTATTCAAATGAGGTTCCTCACTACCATATTGATAAGATATGCAACTGTTCCATGATGCACATTAAATATTTTTGTTGTATTTTCCCATAACGTAACAGATTTATGCACTGTATCAGACTTCATCTGAGAAGGGAAGGAGTAGATTTTATATCTATTTCAATAACCCCCATCATCCAGTTAATGAATGCTCGAAAAAGGGGTATAGAAGGAAATGGCGTCGACACAATTTTTGACTTTGGAACATTGTTCGGACTAGTGAGGAGGTAAACATACTAAAAGTCCCCACACTTAGGTGGTGAGCCAGATGTGGGGGAACGATTAGGTAACTTTTTTCGGATTTTCACTTATATCAGAAAAACTATCCATCGCTTTGATTAAGATGTTCTATACAAAATTAAAACTGATAAAATTTGCAATATGATTGATTCAATACTTGTTTTTGCTTGCTCGCTTTGTTTCCGAGATATCTGTCCTCAACTATGGCTAATTTTGAAAAAAATAAATTTGCCTCATGTTTAATGCTGTTTTTGGTTATATCAAGAAAACTATCCATTCTATCGACAAAGACCTATACAAAACTAAAGCTGATAAAATTTGCAACATGATTTGATTTTATACCTTTTTTCCCTATCTCACATGGTTCCTGAAATATCCACCCTGATGTGGAAAAAAGAATTTTTCAACTCATGTTTTTTGCTGTATTTAACTAACTCTTGATTGCTTCGTTTTACGATTAAGTCATGGGGAAAAAAGTTTTTAATAATTAAATTTTCTTCAAGAATATATATTATTTTACTAGTTTATCTTTAACAATTCTAAAGTTAGATCAGTCATCTACTTTACCTTTTGATTCTGAGAATTTGCAGAAAAAAGTAATTTTTATAATAAATTTTATTGTATGGATGTATATGTATATATATACATAGAGGTTTAAATGTATAAAGAGTTAGAGCAATATAATAATAACGAATACTATAAAAATTATTTTTTCTGTAAATTCTCTGAATTGTTGACGTATAAAGTTATAATTTATCTAACTATTAAATCGTTGGAGGTAAACTAGTAAAATTATATACATTCTTGAAGAAAATTTAATTATTAAAAACCTTCTTCCTTACAACTTAATTGTAGATAGAAGCAATCAAGTGTTAGCTAGTCAAATACAGTAAAAACCATGAGGTAATTTTTTTTTCATATTAGCAATAGTTGAGGAAGGATATCTTGGAAACTAAGCCAGATAGCGAAAAAAGGTATATAATCAATCATATTGCAAATTTTATCAGCTTTAATTTTTTATAGGACGTCTTTGTGGATGTGATGGGTAGTTTTCTTGATATAAGCAAACACTCGAAAAACAGCAATAAATAATTTTTTTTTATTTTCAAAATTAGCCATAGTTGAGGATGGATATCTAGAAAACGAAGCGAGGTCGCAAAAAATTATATATTATCAATCATATTGCAAAATTTTGTAAAGAACGTCATTGTCAATGCAATGGATAGTTTTCCTGATTTCAGCGAAAAAAATAGTTAAAATATTTTTCAGTATTTTTAGCTGAATTGTTTCATAAAATTTATAGGATTTCACTGAGTAATTTGAGCCATCATATTTTCTCTAAAAATCGTTACGTACCTTCAAACGAACTTACCAAATACATTTAATGCATTAATTTTTCATTATTTTGAGATCAAATCGTTCCAAAAAATGGAATATCACCAATTAATTTGGACCATAATACTATAAAATCATGGATGTTAAATATTCAGGATGCAGGCTTATTTAAATTTTTTATTTTTCCCAACGTTTCAACCCAAACATGTGGGTCATCTTCAGGGCCGAAAATGTTTTTTAAAATTACTATCAGAGATATAATAGTATACAACCGCTAATTATAAATAATAAACTATAGTGATTGATGGTGCATGAATCTAATATTGCAATACACGTATTAAAATTAAATATGTAAATAGTTATACAAACTAAAAAATAAAATAATGTATATAATCCATTTATACAAATTTGTAATATTTTCTCTTACTAACCGTGGTTTGAGCACTGAGGGTGTTCAAGTACTGACACATGTTTGGTAGGTAAGTAAAAAGGTCAGGGATGGAGGGTTTCCCAGTTGTCACTTTTTACTTACCTACCAAACATGTGTCAGTACTTGAACACCCTTAGTGCTCAAACCACGGTTAGTAAGAGAAAATATTTGTATTTTTTTTGTATAAATTTGTATAAATGGATTATATACATTATTTTATTTTTAGTTTGTATAACTATTTACATATTTAATTTTAATATGTGTATTACAATATTAGTTAGATTCATGTACCATCAATCACTATAGTTTATAATTAGCGGTCATATACTATTATATCTCTGATTGTAATTTTAAAAAATATTTTCATCCCTGAAGATGACCCACATGTTTGGGTTGAAACGTTGGCAAAAATAAAAAAATTTAAAAAAGACTGCCTGCATCCTGAATATTTATCACCCATGATATGTAGAACAGTCGACTAACTTCCTTCAAGTACTATAAAATCAATAGAGCTATTGGCTTATAATATTGTTATATACTTTAAAAAGGTCTAGCTAATCATATAACTTTCCTAGTTTCTTTGCCAAGAGTTAACTAAAGGGAATGATGAAGTATACATCTCTTCCAATAGTTTTAGTAATAGTTTTATAACACACTTTCTAAAGCAGGTGTTATAAAACACCTGCCTTAGGAGTTATTAACATACACCTGTGGCATATTGTTGAATTAATAAAGTTACTTTACTTTTTAAAATATTGCTCGTGAGATAGATATTAACTAAATATGTATTGTATTTTTTAAAAGTTATAATTAGAGTTTATTTTTTATATACTTCTGTTAAGGTTTCTTGTAAGAGACCGAACTGATATTAATACTGTGAATTATTAATATGAAATTATTATTTATTTGACAAAGGAATTTTATTTTATATTGTGAGTAAATTCACATGCATTTGCAAATTTGATAATATTAATATTAGTCTTATTTAAACCGTAATCATAAGACCAATTTACTTTTATATATTTGAAGATGTTTGTACTTTTCCATTCTTGTGCCTCCTACCATAATGACGACGAGCTCCTTTTTCTCCTTCTGTTAGTTTCACTGGTTGCCTGGGGCTGTTAGTGATATACGAGTATGTGCTAAAATTATATACTAACTTTTTGTTGAGTTTATCTTTACATATCTTATCCTGTTAAAGATATGGAAGATATCTTATAATATTTAAGATGACCTTTGCATATTTTATAATGTATTCTTCTATATCAAATGAACTTTGTAATTTGTATGAACTTCTTTTATTTGTAGTTACTAAACATTAAGGCATAAGCAGGTCTGCAATTTATATCATGGAGCAACTTAACAAAGTTAAGTACTGCAAATCACACTTCAGAAGTCTTCTTTTTTTTTTTTTTCTACTATTTTAAATGCCATTTATTTTTCAATCTTTAGTATGTTTCCCAAACAGTATCTGTAGCATTATAGATATTAATAATAATAATGAAATCATAAAACAAATTACATGAAGTTCTAAAAATATTACAGAAATCAATTAATCTTTTCTGTTTTTAACAATGTTTGCATGGATTGAATTCTAAATTGGTATCTAATGTAAAGAGCATGAGATCGATTTAGTAAATAAACTAGTGTTTGTTAGCAAATAATAAATGATACTATTTAATAAAAATTGCTATTTGAATCTGAATAACTAATGCCAAAAGGTTAATATGCATTGTGCCGACTGGTAAACATCTCAGAGGTAAACCAAAGCAGAGAAGGTAAGATTGCGTTAAAGCTGATCTGTTGGGATTAGGTTTGGAGGGCGACCAGTGGAGAGAGATGTGTAGACAGAGTTTAGTGGTGTTGCCATCGAGCCTTCATGTTCGATAAGCCTTTTATTATTATTATTATTATTTTAATTATACTCTTCTCTTATCATAAGGGAACTCTGAATGAGTTAGGCCTGGGTAACATTGATTATGAACCAATGTTGGTGTGGAACGAGATACTTTGGTTTTGAACTAAGGACAATGAGGCAAGTTAACATGGTTCAATAATTATCCGAATCAACCAATTTAATGAGCACAGGAAGTCTACACTCCTTTCATATTTCCTCCAGTTGGATCCCCTTTGATAAATTGGATGTTACTTTTTAAGAAACTGACAAACATGGGAGCCTGCAAGAATAAATAAATGCCATCGTCTGTATCGATTATTTATATTACATTATATTTATATTTGTTTTAGTCGGCTCATCCTAAAGGTGAAATATTCCTGGGCAACATGATGGATGGATATTCTATAAGAGTCGGTGTTCCAACTGGTGTTAGGGATCAAGGATTTTCTTTTACTCTTCGGACTCCGTCTCGGTGGTATTACCTTTCGGCTGAGAATTCATTTGATAGAGATGTCTGGATATCTGTTGTGACTGCTGTTTTGGAACAGCCAGTCTCTCCTCAAGATAATACAAGTATATGATATTTTTTATTATAAATTTAGATTTTATGCTTAGATCCACTTTTCATTAACTGGATATTTAGTTAATAAAATCTTAATATGGGGTTATACCTCATAAAATGTCAGTTTTACTTATAAGATAGAACAGAATTTTAATTTACTTGTGAATTGTACAATTTTGTATTGTTTTTATTAGACAATCAATATTAGGTTGTTAAAACTGAAACCTTATTATTATAAAATATTGATTTAAAAAAAGTATTAGTAGCAACATGAACTGAGTAAATATTTATATTTTTAATCCAATTAGTTGTTTTTATTATATATATATTATTTCAGAGAAATGTTATATTTAGCTCAGTGCTTCATATAATAGAAGTTGGTAATTGATATTTAGATCTATCTTCTTTTTCTTTAACCGATGCTAATTTTTTTAATGAAGATATTATCTTATAATTATCTGAACTATGAATAACATATGAAAGAGTGTTTTAATTGCTTATTTTAACAAGGATGACTTACTTGGTTATAAGCTGAAGTACTGTAGTTTAATATTTTAAATTAAATATTAGTAAAATAACCACAAAAAAAAGATTTCATTGAATCATAAATGACTGACATTCCATTGATATTAAAATTATTCCTGAAATCTCTCATTAGCAAAAAAAGTTTTGTAATTCAGTCAAAATGAGATTTTTTGTTATTAGCTTGCACTCCAGGATGTAATTTAATGTAGTTTGATGATTTTACATCCTTCTCCAGATTATTTTTCTTATAAACAATGAATTTTAGTTGCAGCAAGGCTCGTCAGAAAGAGAGTTGGAGTTACTAGCAGTCTCAATATTTTTTCTTCAAGATAACCTATTTCTTCAAACTACTAGGGTGGTATAATTTATTTGTTTATTTTAATGATTTTCTATTATTTAGTCTGTAGATAAAAATTTAGTTTTAAGCTTATGTATATATGTATGTGTGTATGATGTATAAATAATAACTGAATACACAGATGTTTATGGATTGATTGAAGAGAGGATATAACTTCTAAAGAATTTGTTAAAAAAAAATAATGATAGTAATAATTTTTAAAAGTAAATGACTGCTATGAAATTTTCTATTTTTATTCAAATAAGCTTGTATCTTATTTTGTATTTTTTTTTTTTTAATTTTAAATTGATTTGTTCATTTTCCATTGTATTTGAGAGTTTTACTTGTGTTGTATATTTTTTTAATAATCTTTATGCATTTTATATTTATTATTTTAAAAGAATGATTCGGGTTACAATTCGAAGTTGTAGTATTATATTTTCAAAAGTTGATTATTAGTTTATACAGGCATTACCTAAACAGTGAAGTGGTGATGGTTTATTCCAAATTCTTTAATATTTAGTGAAAAATTATTTTAGAAATTTTTACTTCCATTTTCAATTGCATTTATCTGTGCTAGTCACACAAGTCTATTCTGGGAATAGAGTTAATATAGAAGTAATCTAAAGTCGTATTTTGTATAGAAGTATTAAAAAATGTTAATTTCTCCAGTGATATTTATGAATAACTTTTTTGTCCCAAAGAGACTTTGTTGTTATTGACCAAAGAAAATATCATGTTCTTCGTAAAGACAATTTGAGTTTTTTTAATTTTATATTGAAATGCTCTATCACACATAGCTATTATTTTTAACTTTTCAATTCATATTAGAAGTGTTTAACAAATTAACAGTTTGAATTATATTATAAATATATTAAAAGAGATCTGGTTGTATTGTGAGCTAAAGTTTGAAACATATCTAATGAGTGTAATGTTCTTATTTTATTTCTCCTACAATTTTTGTTTTGTTTTATGTTTGTTACCTTAAAGTAAATTTAAATTTTCTGTTTGTATTTTAGTATTGATTAATGTACATTTATACTTCATATGTATATGTTTTATGTAAACTTTTGTAAATATGTAAATGTATTTGTTATGATTGATATTTATGTAGTTTGTAAATTATTTAAATAAATAGAAGTAATTTGAAAGATAATTATGTAAACCATCCTTAATTCTTATATTGATAATAAATTAATCAAGGATGAATATTTTTTCATCCTCTTAAGATAAAATTGTAGTATGACCATACTAATTTTAAATCTAATGTATAGAACTCACTATGAAAAAACAATCTTGAAGAAAATACGTACAGAGAAAATAACAAATACAAAACAAACTGCTTTGAGTAATTAAAGAACATATGTCATTATGGACACCCATTTCATTGGTCTCTCATCAAAGACTGCGGATCTACCCCTGAATGAGTCTTGAATGCGATATTAAATAATGTAAATATCTGGTACAATTTTAAGCACAAAATTTCAATATAAGTAATTGCTATATTTTTATTCTCTCCTGGTGCCATACAGTATTATGATTCATACTTGTTAGCAAACATTAAAATTTCTTATAATGGCTGTATTGAATGTTAAGCAATTGTTTCATAAATTAATTTTTGTTTCTATTTACTCCAGTGTGTTTAGTGTTATTAATTATTTATTTAAATTTCCTTCCAGAAAATAAATATTTAAATTTTACATTGGTATCCCTAATTAAGTATATGCATGATATAATTTTTCTGTTTTTTGCTTTTGTAAAAATATTAAGGCTGACAAAAGAATCTATTAGTATCTTTTCATAATTCAAAACAATTATAGCCTAGAAACGTAATAGCGCTAGAATTATCTCCAAATTATTCACTATTACAGAACATACATACCTAATTCTACAGATTATTTTTTTTTATTAAGTTCCTTATCAATGTCATAAGGTTTTTTCAAATTGTTCTTTTAGCTAATCCTTTATACACAAAAAAAATCTTATGACAGTGAAAAGGAACATGATAACAGAAATTCTCAAATTACTTAGATCTCATGAAGCAGGTGAAAATCACAATAATTAAAAGTTTACCTTATATCGAAACATTTAATTTTATGTTTTAAAAATATTTAGGGTACTGAACTTCTAATGCTCGAAGTCTCAGTTTCGAATCCTGGGTCATGGCAGAAATATTATTTCTTCTGTTTCATTGGCTGTGGGGTGACCCTGGTGTCAGGAGAGCCTCCTGGGACAAACTCAGTCTCTATAAAATGGGGACCATTAATTAAATAATTGATTAAGAAGGAAAACCTGGCAGTTGAGCGTGATCTCGGTCAAATCATCTCCTTGCACAACCATTGACTTAGAAACAGTGCTTTCTCTAAATAGTACTAAACCATAGATCTTTCATGGGTTGTAGTGGTACATTTTTTTAAATATTAAATGAATCATACATGACTATTTCAAATACGTATAAGGGATAATCGAAACATGTTTTGGCATAGTTCAAATTTTATTGTGGATATGACTGAAATTTCTCATAGATTGCATAATTGGAATTTTGTTTTCTCATTTACCAACTTCCACGCTGTTTCTGACATATGTTAGGAGATATTGAGGGGAGTGTGAAGGAGATTTTAGAGGTACAACCAAACCCATTTTCTAACCAGAATGGGAAGGTTAAGATTCATGGCCTTAGGTCCACAGCAAAATAAATAATTACACTTGCCCAACATGGAGAAATCTAAGGACAGGTATAACCTTGTCTGGAATATAAGAAACTTTAACAACTGAGCAAAATTAGTCATTTATTTAAAAATTATTCAGTTATTTTTAAAAATACCAAGATAACACCATCGAATTCTTTCACAGAGTGAAAATGTAATCTCATTTTTGAACATAAAAATTAACTACCATTTTATGTCAGATTTTGCTATTGTTGGTTAAATAAAAATAGTTATAAAGAACATATAAAGCTAGTGTGATAAGCCATGCTTACACTTTCCATTACATTTTTCTACAATACCAAGAATTGCCTTCAATGCCTGCTCCAAAGTGAACCCAGACGATGTGTGCTATCAAAATGAGAAATTATATCTTGGACTATTTTATTTTATTTTTTAAATCGTGATATCCTTTATAGATATACTAAAAAAATAAACTTTAATTCTTGGTGTTTAAGTGGATTATATTACAGATTTACAGTTATAACTTTTGAAATAATTACATAATTAAAAGTTTATCAAGTGATCGATGGATCTCTATTTAATAAATTCATTCATTTATTGAACTCACCTATTGAGTTCATATTATGGTCGATCATTTCTCACAAGGTATATTGGGAATTAAATCCTAATCTCAATGTTTATGAAAAATTGTGCCTTTATTATTTATTATAACATAATACTAATGCACTCTATTCTATATATGATCGAGTACTAATTATAATTTATGATGATATTCCATTGAATTTTCATGTCATTGAGTTTGCATTTTTGGTAAAAAAAACATCATGCTGAAGAGTGGTAATAAATGTTACAGTAACATAAGTACTTTATCATCTTAATGTTTAGGAACATCAGGGATTTTATCAGTCATAGTTATTAATATTCTCATATAACGTGACAACTAGTTTTGTCATCTGTTCGCTAAAAAAAGTAGTCATTGGCAAATTTGCAGTTGACAAGGTAATGTACTTAAAGTTTCAATCCAAGGAGTGATAGATTTTTTTTTTAGCCCAGAGAATTTTTTTTATAGCACAGACAACCTCTGAAAAGCTGTCACTAAACATTTTAATATGTTGGTAAAAAACAGATGGTCATCCTGCTCATATAATGATCAGTATTCCCATATTAAGTGAGGTATCCAAGATGATTAATGGGATAGTAAGGGTACAGTGATTCCTTGCTACCATTTTCTTTATCGGAAACTAAAACAATTTTTATAAAATTATATGCCTTTTGTTGGCAATAAACGGTAGAATAGAATATAAGGTTAACAACTTTAGAATTAATCAAATTTACAAAATAAATTAGGCTAAAGTTAAAAAAGTGACATTAAGAAAATAAATAAATTTTAATTTTTTCAATATTATTAAGAAATAATGAAATTTTACTTGCTCCTTTAAATTAATAAAGTGAATCATAACATATTTAAGTATGCATAAAACGATGGTGATAGACAAAACATCGCTTAAATAAATAGTCAGACAGCCTTAAATAATTAATTGTTTATTTATATTTGATATTTCATACTGTGACATAATTGTATAAATAAATAAATTTCAGATGGATCATCTATGTTCAGGAAAAGGTAGATCTTATATTAAGTAATGCATTAACATAGTAATATGGAACAAGGAAATCCACGTCCTGCGCCCCCCCTCCCTCATCCCTGTCAATCATTTACATGTCCAATATTAGGAAAAACGCAAGTATCCATCCTATTCCAAAATTTCACGGGAATTACTGTTACTACTACGGTTATCAAGCATAATTGTTGAATCTATTGTACTATTTTGTTATTATAACAATAATTTCATACTAAAAGGTTAATCTTTGTTAAAAATGTATTTCGAATTGTAAAGAAAAAAAAAACGAACAATAAAATGTGTAAATTACGATATGAATGTTATTTTTAATTTGTTCAAATGCAGTAAACACTGAGTTTTCATCAAATTTGAAATAAGAAAAAGTATTTAAGGAAATTTATGTATCTATTAATTGTTTTTTTATATTTTCTATTGATTCGATTGTAAATTTTGATGATTTTTGGTATCAGTATATATATTGCGAATTTTTCCCTACTTAACTATTAATAGTTTAAGGATAAACTATTGAAATATATATATTTTCTAAAACTGGTAATGCCAATTACACTGATAACTGAACTACCGCATCGCTAGCGGCCTCTCTTGGAATGAAGTTGAAATTGGTGAAGGCTTCATAGAGACCAGTCGCAAATATGGCGTCGGTTGATTATGTTTCGGAGGTTGAGATACAGCAAGATATACAAGAAATTGAAATAGAGACTATACCGGTGGAAATACCTTGTGAAACTGTGGAAACCACTATCGAGTGCGTGGAAGGGCAACCCATGATCTCTTTACAAGGAATAACAGACCATGAAAGGGAAGAAATTATACTTCAAACACAAGAAGAAATTGTTGGAGCAGTTGATCCACTCGCCGTGTACGAACAGATACCCGTACCTGAAACTGAACTGTATGTGGAAGCAAGTCCTGGTCCATCGAAAAAGCAGCGGAAACCTAAAAAGACTCCAAGATTCAGAGGAGGTGATCAGTGTTTCTCGGACATAACGGAGACAAAGACAAGGAAATGGGAACAAAAACAAGTTCAAATTAGGACTTTAGAGGGTGAATTTTCTGTTACAATGTGGGCTTCAGGTACAGATGATGGTAAGTTTCTTTTAAATTCATTTACAAACCTTACGAGATGATGTTTCGGCATAGAGTTGACTATGCTTGTGCTAACGCGTCAGAGGAACCCAACACACATTGGCCGATCGATACCCCACACCTACCTTACCTTTTCCCTAAAGTTAGGTTGACTGTCACTTTGTTTTAATGCTAAAATTTAAAGTTTTTACATGTTTGTTTTGGTTCTTTGACGGCCATGTACAGAGCAAGGGGGCTGCCATTATTATTTTGCAATATGGCTCCTTTTATTAATGTAAAATGGCCGCTTTTAGGCCATGGCGGTCTGTCGCCATGTTTAGTACACTTCCAAATAATTTTTGAATTTGTTTTTCTGAAATTTAATAAATTTTGTTAAGAATCCTGATTTTATGGCTTTAATTTTTGATCTGTCCTCATTGGGCACATTATCTCCTAAGAACTAGTGAAAAGTTGTTTCTAATTAGACTATGCTTAACTATTAACTTGATTAATATTTGTGCAGTAGTATTTTTTTTATTGAAATTTAAATATTTTCTATTCTCTTCAATAGATGGAATACCTATTTCATTAACAAAACTTGGTTTAGGCGGTTTTTATTATTTTAAAATTTATAAATTATTTTATTGTTCTAAATCATTATGTCTACTTTATAATTAATAAATACTGTTTGAGAAATGTTGCATTTTTATGTATAATCCTGACAGATCTTAAAGATGTGGTTGTGCTACTTAACATGATTGAATTTGTACACTTATAATTTTAACGAATTCTCTTGTAATTTTTTATTCTCCGTATCATTTTTATAAATTGAAGATTAAATTAGTATATTGGTTATTTTTTTTAAATTCATTGTCTTTTTACTGTTAAAAGTTCCTTTATGCCCCTTGATTTTGTTCCTCAATAGTTTTAGTGAGATTGATGTCTTTTCTGTAATTAGTGGCATATTAAGATAAAATTGGTACCTTATTCAACTGAATTCACATTCATTTTCTGGTAAACTGTAATCATAGCAATTAAATTTGTTAATTGCCTCTCATTTTATAAGTTCCTATCTCAATTTTATTTTTTCTTTCTCTCCGATTAGATAGATATAAATTGTTTACAAAGTACTGCAAGTTGATTAAAGAATACACTGCTGGTTTATAATATTCTGTTATATATCATAGGTTCAGGTGTAAGTATTAAAGGAAAAATGTTAAGGCAAATGAATAATAAATTCATTTTGCAAAATGAAATATTTATCACAAAAATTGGTACTAGTTCACAACAGCTCCACACAGATTACGTATGGTTCACAATCACTCCGGTCACATTTGTTCATGTGAATTTGTTCATCCAAATGCATCTGGATTTATCTGAATGAGTAGAAAGATTTCTGGAGTCAGTTACTAATAACTTTCCCACCATTAAAGTACTTGTATAACCTTAACCATGTACAGTGATATAGTGTGAGCTGACTTATATTCGGCATTTAGTTTACTGAACGTAAACTTAATCGTACTTATACATATATCTATAAGTATACAGATGTAGGGAAGAAATAGTAATAGATATAAACCGTTCCATTGAGGTTGGGGGTTATTCAAATAAATATTTATATGCCAACTTTTATTCGTTGGCTTTTAACAGATGATTTATTCATTATTTAAGATAAAAATTTCATTCAAATTACTTTTTCTAGCTTTTCAGATTTCATATAAATTTTTTTCGTTTTTCAAAAATGAGTCAAAGGGATATGGATGGTTGGTTGCGACAAAAGCTGACATATCATTCGACTGTTTTTGGCATTTCATAAACAAGTGTGACCGAAGTGATTGTGAACCATACCTAATTAGTGCGGAACTCTTATGAACTAGTCCCAAAAATTATTTCATTTAAAGGAAATTTTTAAATCAACTTTAAATGGATTATTTAAGTTGAGATAAGCTAAGTTAAGATTTAAGTTAAGTGCCCTTTAAAGTACTGCCTTAAGGGTTTGTATTGGATTTATTATTACTGATCCCATGCTTTATTTTTATTATATGAGAAGTGTTCAGAATCGATTATTGGTGCATATGACATTTTTGGTCTTTTGGATTTTGGTGATTAAAGTTTGTTTTTAAATTTTAATATGTAGTTTAATTTCTGAATATCAGAATTAATTTAACATGGTATTAAAATATGACATTCGTGTTGCGTAGTTCTTGTTTATTTTTATCTTAAAATTAATTTCTTATAGTTCTAATGTATGATTTCAAATCCATATTAGCTTTTTTTTTTTTTAAGTTTGTTTTGGAACTGACTTAGTTAAGCACGGAAATGTCAGTTTAGAGCCAGTCATTTGTGAAGAATTAAAATACAATTGTGTACCTTCATTAAAGTTCCTATATGTTACAGCAAACTGACCTTGCTGACTTTTGACTTAGCCTCTCCCAGATCTTTTCACTGTTAAAAAATAATTCAAATTCTTAATGAGATAGGATAGAATGGGGAGCAATTAAATTTAATGTTTGTTAAACCTAATAAAGACTTAATCATGGGCTGGATAATTTATGGTTGCATAAATTATATAATTTTATGTTTCTGTATATATCTATCTGTCACATTCCATAGTTATAGTTATAGTTCCATATTTGATTCTTAATAGAATCAAACTAGTTTTTACTTATTGTTAAATGTTATTACAAAATATTTACTTTTGATAATCTTTACTCAAATTTTCGAACATCTTGAATCTGATAATTGACATTATCTTAGATGGTTTGAGTTTATGAAATACTGTTTCTGCCTCATATTGAAATGCCTCCTAATTCTTTATTTCTTTAGTGGTACATTTCGGACTTTATCAACTGACCTCTAGGTACCTAGTCCATTCACATATGGTTCTGAACATTTGCTGCAAAGGATTTTGAACTGATTTGAGTTACTCTTTATGTAAAAATAAATTGTATCTTTCATCTGCATACTAATTGTGCACCAAGTTCTATGGTTACCACATTTTTACTAACAGGCTCTATATACATTAAAAAATGGGGATAAAAACTGAAGCCATTATTTTTACAAAACAATGTCCTATAATCCTGCTGGACATTATCCTAAATAATTGAAGAGAAGGGTGGTTAGGGCGATCAGTCAAAATAAATAATTATATTTATTTTTATATTTGCCGACGTTTCAGCCTGAAGTTCAGGCCTTAATCAGGGCTTGTCAATCTAAGAAGCGTAGAAAGACTAAGGTATAGCAGGAGAGAGTAAAGCGCCATATTTGGTCCTAGGGTGCCATCACAGACTACTCTTTCCTGTTTACCTTAGTCTTTCTATGCTTCCTAGATTGACCAGCCCTGATGAAGACCTGAACTTCGGGCCGAAATTTCGGCAAATATAAAAATAAATATAATCATTTATTTTGACTGATCAACCCAACCATCCTTCTCTTCAATTATCCACTACTGTCAACCATCAACCCACAATTATAATCTTAAATAATTGTACAATTCCGCTTGCCTAGTAAGTTAAATATTTAGATGTAGCACTCAACAGTAAACTCCTGTTTAATCAGCATATCACTTTAAAATTAGAAAATAATATATGAAATGTTAACATATTTCAACAAAAAATCAAAACTTTCATCCAAAAACAAATTATTGCTATATAAATCTGTAATAAGACCAATTTTAATCTACGCCTGCCCCATACGGAGCCTTACTAAAAGAACAAACATATAAAAACTACAAATTTTTCAAAATAAATGTCTTTGAACTGTCAATAATTTTCTCTATTACGCCAAAATAACTTGGATGCACTCAGAATTTGACGTGGCCGACGTACAAGATTACATTTACAAAACAACTCTAGCCTTCTTTCAATCTCAAGAACACTCTTTAAATCTCTTAATTGCTGAATTGGGAAATTATATAAAAACATCAACACTTAAATATAAACATAATAGAACGGAACATTCTACTCTAAATTATTATACATTTTATTTAAATATGTTTTTTTTTTCCAAAGGGTTTATTTTTACCAATTGTTCAATGTTTTGATTGTACATATTGTATATTTATAAAAATATATTTTACAACGGTACAGACCTACAGCAATTGTTAACTTTTAGCTGGAAAATATGAAAAAATAAATAATATATGTATACAAAAACAGGTTAGGTTACTGCATTACTAACAAGTAAAACAGTTGCTAGGACTAAATAAGCTGCGTTTAAATACATGAAAATAAACAGAATTAATTAATTTACTGTATTTTCATAGTTTTAAAATAAAGGAGTTTTCCATATTTTGTTAAACTGTAAATCTCAAAAATGAATGTTTTTAAGATACTTCATTTTTACTAAGCAGTTTAGTACAAACATTTAATTTGATAGGTTTCATTGGTCTCAGACTGCATTGTGAGGTTCTTTCATTTGTTTTGTGGATTTTTCATTATCTCATTACTCATTTCATTGGTGATTATTTTTCGAACTATTTGTAGAATTAATTAAAATTTTCAGATGAAGCGAGTAATCCTGACCCAGATCCAGACTATGAAGACTACATGACAGATAGGAAAATTCCTCAAGAGGCAATCCCAGGCTTAGACTTAAGTGACCCAAAACAATTAGCTGAATTCGCTAGGTAAATTATTTTATTAGTTTTACCATGATTAAAGTTTTTTTATTATTATCATATTATTATACAACATTCATATTATTGTTGAAGTATCAAGACATGGTATGTTCAACTCTAACACCCATGACTATAATATTATTTTCTTAGTTTTGACAGCTTCAATTAAGCTGTAGTCTGCCATTGGAGGTAAAAAATACAAAAAAAAATTTGATTACGCAGTTGCATATCCATTTATTTTAACATTTTAGATTTTTTCAATGTGATATTTCTATGTCATATTTAATTATTTCCAAGTCAAATTCAACCTTTTCCAAGTCAAATTCAACCTTTTCCAGATCAAATCAAACTTTTTCCAAGTCAATTCAACCATTTCCATTTCAAATTAAACCTTTTCCAATTCAAATTCAACCGTTTTCATTTCAAATTAATGTTTTAAGTTTTTGTAAATTTTATATTTTTTTTTAAATAATGGCCATCCCCTCCCCCCTCCAATATGAAAGTCTATTATTATGCTCTCCTAAGTAGAATTTTCACTTACGGATATCGATTTATTGTACCTATTCGGATTTCTTAGGGACTAGTATTATGCTGTCCTGTACCTAGTTTTGAAAATAATCTCCATTTTAAGATTACGTGACTGCGTTTCGATTCATTTAAGTTTTTTTGACAAATTCGATATGTGGGTGTATTTTTATGTTTCCCGATCAGTAAATTTTGAAAATGACATCCATTTTATGTTTACGCCACTGTGTTTTGACTTATTTAAGTTTTTAGAATTTATCCAATATAAAGGTCTACTTTTATGTTTCCGGAGCCGTAGATTTTGAAAACGACCTTCATTTTAAGATTAGGCCACCGCGTTTCGACTTATTTGAGTTTTTCGGATATTTTTCATATGAGGGTGTATTTTTATGTTTCCGGAGCTGTAGATTTTGAAAATGACCTCCATTTTAAGATTAGGCCACCGCGTTTCGACTTATTTGAGTTTTTCGGATTTTTTTCATATGAGGATGTATTCTTATGTTTCCGGAGCCGTAGATTTTGAAAACGACCTCCATTTTAAGATTAGGCCACCGCATTTCGATTTCTTTAAGTGTTTCGAATTTTTATCATAAAAGAGTGTATTCTTATGTTTCCGGAGTCGTAGATTTTGAAAATGACCTCCATTTTAAGATTACGCCACTGCGTTTCGGCTTATTCAAGTTTTTCGAATTTATCCAATTTAAAGGTCTACTTTTATGATGCCGGAGCCTTAGTTTTTAAAACGACTTACATTTTAAGATTAGGCCACTGTGTTTCGGTTTTGTTAAGTGTTTTTGATTTTTCCTTCGAATAAAAAACATAATACGAAGGATTAATTTATTTTTCAATAAATAAATAAAAATATCTACTCAAAATAAATAAAATATGTATTGTCTCATTTTTAATTTAATTTTAGTTATCTTTTTTAATGTTGTGGTCTCCTATCACAAAATTATAAGATTTCGAACAATTAGCTGAAAAATCTGAATACGGAAGATTAAATTTATTACCAGTTGCTTTTCGGCTTTTTAGTTTGTATTCTGTGGTTAATTTTACTTTAGCTTCATAATATTTATTTATTTATTCATACTCGAAAACATATTGATGAAACTTTGTATTGAAAAAATCCAAAATGAAGCCTAATTAATCAAGATGCAGCGGCTTAATCATAAAATGGAGCTTAAATATTAGATAAATTTAAATATTAAAGATTAGAAAAATTTCAATACGTCTCGGATAACATATAAGTAGATCCTTATACCGAAAAAGTAAAAAAAGAAACTTTTATAATCCAAAACAGTGGCATAAACTTTAAATTGGGTCATTTACAAAATGGGGGAAATCTACTGCTCCAGAAACATAAAATTAGACCTTTATACTTGTTAAATTCTAAAAATTTAAATAAGTTGAAACGCAGTTGCGTAATCATAAAATAGAGGTCATTTTCAGAATCTACGGTTCCGAAAACATAAAAGTAGACCTTTAAATTGGATAAATTCGAAAAACTTAAATAAGTCAAAATGCAATGGCGTCATCATTAAATGGATGTCATTTTCAATATCTACGGCTCAAGAAACATAAAAGTAGACCTTAATATTGGATAAATTCGAAAAACTTAAATAAGTTAAAACGCAGTGGCGTAATCATAAAATGGAGATCATTTTCAAAATCTACAGCTCCGGAAACATAAAAATACACCCTCATATGAAAAATATTCGAAAAACTCAACTAAGTCGAAACGCGGTGGCCTAATCTTAAAATGGAGGTCATTTTCAAAATCTACAGCTCCGGAAACATAAAAATACACCCTCATATGAAAAATATCCGAAAAACTCAAATAAGTCGAAACGCGGTGGCCTAATCTTAAAATGGAGGTCATTTTCAAAATCTACAGCTCCGGATACATAAAAATACACCCTCATATGAAAAATATCCGAAAAACTCAAATAAGTCGAAACGCGGTGGCCTAATCTTAAAATGGAGGTCGTTTTCAAAATCTTCGGCTCCGGAAACAAAAAAGTAGACCTTTATATTGGATAAATTCTAAAAACTTAAATAAATCAAAACACAGTGGCGTAAACATAAAATAGATGTCATTTTAAAAATTTACTGATCGGGAAACATAAAAATACACCCTTATATCGAATAAATAAAAAAAAACTTAAATAATTCGAAACGCAGTCACGTAATCTTAAAAAGGAGATTATTTTAAAAAACTACTCATACGATAACAGACCCACGCATCGAAAAATTAAAGATAATTAAATAAATAAAAAAAGGTTGAATTTGAAATGGAAAAGGTTTAATTTGAAATGGAAAAGGTTGAATTTGACTTGGAAAAAGTTTAATTTGATTTGGAAAAGGTTGAATTTGACTTGGAAAAGGTTGAAATTGACTTGGAAATGCTATATATAATAAGTGTAGAAATGGTTATATATATATACATATATATGTATATGTGTGTATGTGTTTCAACTGCCTCCCACAGTGCTACATCCTACGCCCTGATGAAGACCTGCAAAGTGGGTCAAAATGTTGGCATAAAAATTAAATAATACTATTTCTATAATTTAGTATTTATTTGACCGCACTCCCCGATCAACTCTTTCTCATACTTGCCACAGTTCCCAACCACCAAAAACGACTACTTTAAGAAGCTATATTCATTAATTTGTAAAAAAAATAATCCAGTAAACCATAAAGTAGACAAAGAAAAGATATGCAATAACATATTCAAACATTTTCCGTCTCCTAAAATAATAGTCTATTATAATAAAAAATTTGTTTTCATCGTCCCCCATTTCTTTGTCAACGTATATATATATATATATATATATATATATATATATATATATATATATATATATATATATTATATATATATATATATATATAGAGAGAGAGAGAGAGAGAGAGAGAGAGAGAATATAGATATATATAGAAAATATAGAGAAAGAGTTGATCGGGTGCAGTCAAATAAATACTAAATTATAGAAATAGTATTATTTAATTTTTATGCTGACGTTTTGACCCACTTTGCAGGTCTTCATCAGGGCGTAGGATGTAGCACTGCGGGAGGCAGTTGAAACTTTGAAATGGATAGGATGCGATCAAAGATAAAGTACACCCAAAAAAGCTCAGCTACTTGACTCTGAAAGGTTTTTTTTTTTTATAATCTCAGACGAACGTTCTTGATGAAAATATTTAACTTCCTACTAAATGTCGATATTGGAATATATAAAATAAACATTTTTCGGGTATACTATCTTCTTTAACCACACCAACTTCTGTTACATTCAGAGTTTATATATTTAAAAAAAAAAAATTTAGCCACTGTTAGGATTGCAAATTCTCCAGGAGTTGAGTAGTGGAGTGACCCTAAAAAGAAAAAATATTTGAGCAATAGGCAAATATGTTAAATAGTAGCTGAGAATGTTTTTTTAATTTTAGTTCAGTTTTTTTTTTTTTTTTTTCAAAGCTTATTTATTGAGAAATATTACAATCTGTATCAATTGAGGACCTTTATAATAGTTTTCTGAGATCACATTCACACCATATTTACAAAATCATAAATATAAAGTAATAATGTTAATGTTATGAAATTTCTTTAGAAATGTGCTTCAAAATTTTACAAAATTGATTTAAAAATTATAATAATGAAATAGATAAAGGTTGGGATGAAGTTGGCTGTAGAAATTTTTTTTGCAATAAATCTCGCATACCGAAATAGTGAATAGGAAAAAAAGATATTCCAAACAATGTTTTGCATATTCTCTATCAGAATAGGTGTTCGGCAACTTGTAAGACCTTAGTAATACAAACGAAATCACTGGGATGATTAATGTTTCAATTAAAATATTTTCTAATCTAATTGTAACTTGTTTAAAATCTTGTAGGAAATAAAATAGTTCTATAAAATATTAATTTTTTAGTTGTTTTTATTCAATAAAGATAAGTTCTCCTCGTGGCGGATTCTGAGAATAATAGAAAAACAAATTACAAATACCTTCCCCACTAATAAAAATCATAACAATAATACCGAAATGCTAATACATGCATGGAATATTGTTTATTTGTAACAGCCAATTAAATTCAAATAGATGAAAATTGGATAAGAAAATATGAGTTTTTTTATTATTTTCCCGTGCGCAAGCCACTTCTAGAGTTCGATCCTTTCCTCCCGACTCATCCTGTATGTATATATATATCAGTTTCTATCAATTCTTCTATTTTATTATTAATTAAAATTCTGTTTTAAGAAACTGTTTTGATATGAATCTGTTTTTCTTTCATAGATTGTTCTTCCTCTTTTTTATGTGTATGTTTAATTTTTATCTTAAGTTATTGTTGTTCCTCTTTAACAATATTGATTTTTCTAGACCAGGCCATAAAATGAAAATGAAAAAACCTACAGATGGGTTGGAACGAACAATAGCTTGCCCACACAAAGGTTGTACCAAAATGTTTAGGGATAATTCAGCTATGAGGAAACATCTACACACCCATGGTTAGTATTATTTTTTCTTGTTATTTTTTTATTTATTATATTTTAAATACATGATTAAATATGAAGTGTTGAATTCTATAGCAAACCAAATCCATTTTCATTTTTATAATTAACAGTTTAGGTGCTAAATTATCACAAGAGAAAAGAATTTTTAACGATAAGAGTTGTTTTCACATGTGATTAAACTATATTAAACTTAAAAAAATTCTTCTAGCACCTCTATGGATTGATTTGAAGGCTTCTTAAAATCCAAATTTTAATGCATAAAATTTGCAATTTTTCATCATTAACTAAGATATTTCTTGAATTTATAATTATAAATTAGAAGGATTTTTGTTGTATATAATTGAAATAAAAAATAACTGATCATAGTGATGTTTTTATAAACTTGAATCAAATATATGGGGGCACCTAATAAGTTACATTTTATACACAGTAATTTAATAAAAAAGTATTATTTATTTATTTGTATTCGGGGATAGCCCCAGACCAATGAGTTGATTTCACTCATGATGATTTTTGGGCAAAGTAGCGTTTAGTATTTTTTCACAAAAAATATTTAGATTTATTTATGATTGCAAATATAAGTTAATGTTAATTTTTGTCTAATACTTTTTATTTTAAAGTTTCCTTTATTTTAGAAATTTTATTTAATACAGAGTATTTTTTTTCTTTCAATAAAATTTTGTAGATTCTAAAGCAAAAAACTGATACATAGAATTAAAGATTCAATTTATATAAGCTGTTTTTCCATGCTTTTCAGAGTTGTGCTGAGGTGATAATATAAATTTAGTAAAATAATATTAAAAAAATTATTCTCTCATTGGTTATTTCCTATTTCTAATTCTATTCCCTGATGAAGACCTACAACATAGGTTGAAATGTAGATTTTCCAATGGATGTTACATGTAACTATTGACTATTGAACTATAATATAACTATTGACGATACTGTCCGACTAACTTCTCCTATAATAATAATAAATTTCATAAAAAGGTTTTTATAAAACATTTAGTAATGCTGCTTGCTTGTCAGCTGATTTTATTTTGGTTTTAAAGAAGCTAAATATGTTTAAGTACCTTCATCAAAAATTCGGTTCCATCTTTTTCTATCTCACAATGGTTTCACATGTATGCGGAGTGTTAATATCTTTTATTTTATTATGAAAATATATATATTCTATAATAATATAAAAGCTTCATAGATTGTTTGTTTACGATTAATCTACTTATTGTTTAGGTCCCCGGGTACATGTCTGTGCTGAATGTGGTAAAGCCTTTGTTGAAAGCTCCAAACTGAAAAGGCATCAGCTTGTTCACACAGGAGAAAAACCTTTTCAAGTAAATTATCTGTTTTTTATATCTTGATTTTCAAATATTCATTTTTAATAACTAAAGTAAAAGTAGTGTTATTTTACTTTAATAAGTTGTGGGTTGTTGTTATTTTAACTTGTCTCTGTTCCAGTGCACATTTGAAGGTTGTGGGAAAAGGTTTTCTCTTGATTTCAATCTACGAACACATGTTCGGATACACACAGGCGATCGACCTTATGTTTGCCCTTTCGATGGTTGTACTAAGAAATTCGCCCAGTCCACAAACCTTAAATCACATATCCTTACGCATGCCAAAGCTAAGTAAGTATTGCCTGTTATATTTTTATATTAATGTCTTTGGTTAGTTATAGGACTTCACAAGTTTTAAACTGTCAATGTTTTTTTTTCCTCTTGTAGTTATTATGGGAAACATTGTGTCTGTAATTCAAGCTGTTTTATGTTATTGATGTCATAATATTAATAATAATAATAGTGTGTTTTATTTTGATTACAAAATAAATATATTACAACAATATGCCTTACTAACGCCTCTGTCCGGTTGGCCACTTTTACATTTTAATTACAAATCATACTGTGTCATATTGGAGTCTAATTATGGTGTTCATAAAATGTTCTTATCGCTGGTTGTTAATATAATATTTGTCATCCAGTTGAAAATTTAATTCTTTATATATAAAATTAAATTTTGCAGAAGCTAATTTGTTACTTAAAATCATTATGCATTGCCAATAATACTTCAGATATCTGTTGATGGCTGTATATTAAGTGTTTTTCCAGTTAATGTTTGATAAATATCTAGATTTCGTTTATCCATACACTTATCCTTTCCATACACTTTAGAAAATCATTTATAAATAGGCTGAATAACATTGGTGAAAGGGGACATCACTGTCTTAGACCAGATTTAGCCACAAATGATTAGGTCAAGTTTTGTCCACAATGTTTTGTCTAAATTGTGGCTTCAGTGTTTTTATATAACCCTTACAATATTTTGATAATTTTATTTGAAAAGCCAATTTTTTATGCACGCACCGCACCGGATTTGTATACATATAAGTGTTTTCCTTATATAGTTTATATACATATAAGTGTTTTCCTTATATAGTTAGTTTATATTTATTTCAAATATATATTACAGAAAAGTAGAGTAGCTATCTAATGTAAGAGTTCTTGTACAGGTACACTGATAAAAATCAGTTCTGATTTATTTAAATTTTATAAAGATTCTAAGTTATTTTAACTCTGATTGTGATTTCTTAATAATGATTTGTCTTGAAACAATCTGGTGAAACTATAATTAAAAATGACAAAATTAATGAATTGATAATTTTATAATCATAAATTATAATTTAATGTTATAATTTACAAGCTTCAATCATTTTAATACTTTTATAACATAGTTTGAAAAAAATCAAACTTGAATACTAAAAGAACTCGATCCAAATTCATAACACTGGCTAGATGTGGGGAAAAAAATTAGTCACATTAACAACCTTCCCTAGTGAACTAAAATTATTATTTGAAATTGAAAAAATCAGTGAAACTGAATGGGTTAAAAGGCAACACTTGATAGGTAGTAAAATTTTAATATATGTGCATTTGTCAAAGCTATTTACTTATTTCCTGTTTTATGTTCTATAACACCGATTAATTGAATTATTCAACAATATATCCAATCATAAAGGCGATGGCTAAGATGGTGTCCACATATTATTTTTTTCTTTTGGTGCAGTTACTTTTTACTTATATCTATTTTTAAAAAGTACTTAATTTTTTTTTAATTAACTAATGTTTATTTATTATAGACCATGTTTTGTTTATTACAAAACATAATTGTTTATTTATGTTTGTTCATTACAGACCGCGGGCACCCATGCGGAATGTACCTGTAATGGCAGAAGAACCCCACCACCACTTTGTCAAAGTAGAAATGGCTGAAGATCAGCAGTTCATTGTCTATGCAGATTAGTTGAAGAGGTATGTTATTTACCTCTATTTTCATTTTATTCTATTTTCAAAACATTCTAAGATTTATTTTTTTTTTATTGGCTACATCTTGCTAGATAGAGTGGTTGATGATGACTTATCTGTTCATTTTTCATGACTAGTGACTTTTCTTTTATAGAATAATGCTCTATTTAATTTTAATATAACTTACTAGCTGATGTACCAGTCGTTGACGGGTGTATAGTTAAAATTTGACAACTTTTTTTTAAATGGATTTTGTATTATGGAGGGAGGAGTCCAAATGTTAATTTTATAAATTGGATGGGGAGAGTTGTTTTGAAATTTTTATGGCGGGGCCTATGGAAGTCAAGGTTTCACAATAGTCATAATAATTACTTCTGTTCATTTATCCTAATTTTGGTGTCTTGAGGTTTTATTTTTATATAAATTAGGCCAATTATCACCAAACATTTTATTGATACAATATAAATGACGTATCAATAAAATGTTTGGTGATAATTGGCCTAATTTCTATAAAAATAAAACATAATAATTACTTTGTTATTCAGTTATTTGTTTAGGTGCCGTGCAACTAAACCGACCACCACCGATCCATTGAAATTTTTTTAAGTGCTTAATTTTCATTTATGATAAATCGAGGAGATTGTGGAGTCAACTTCTTTAAACTCTGCTGAGTTTGTCGCTCGCAAAATAACATTGAACATTGAGTCACCCACATACGTGTAAAATTAGAACTTGATCTGAATATTGTGGCGGGCGGGGTGAAATTTTTGGGAGGTTTTTTCTTCCGATTTCTGGCTAATCCGTTTGGTTAATCCTAAAAATGTATACAACAACATTTGTTAAACACGGGAAGTTGAATCAAATAACATGGGAAGATCAGACAAAGTTGAAAAATGAGTGTGTTTTAAGCAACAACTCATTACAGATGTTCTGTATTTCGGATTTTTCCCGTTGAGTTGTGATAATTTTTTCCATCAGTTAAATAGTACAACTTTTAAATGTGGCTCGCGGTAGATGAGAATCAAAGTAAGTTACTGCCTAACCGGGATCTCTAGACAAATTACTCAATAATTCATAACTTTGGTTCTACTCAATATTGTTAAAAGTGGATTTGGTGTCTGTAATGTATGAAACGGAAAGATATCATGAAACTTACAGACAAAACCTTTATTTTATTTATATATATATATATATATATATATATATATATATATATATATATATATATATATATCATATTCCTAAACAATATAAGTGTTGACTAACAAATGGTTTAGTGTTTTGGAAATTCCTTGTTATAGTTTACTTGGACAGCATCAATCAAATTGTTCTCTAGCACTGTTTCTTATCTTGGAACAATATCCATTTTCTCATAGGTAAAACATTATTTATGTGGTCATTATCTGTATCAAGTGAAACTTGTTTGTTGTTGGAAGCTGTTGGTACTGTTGCCAAGAAAATTTTTGGTGTACCTCCTCTGTACCAGCTTGCATATTAATATTTTTTCTTTCTAGCTTAATTTGTACCAGGTATGGAACTTTAATTTTCAATTATAACTGGTACCTGGTGTGAAGTATGCTTGATAAGAATTGGTCCATAGATTTAGTCAGAAAGTCATTCCCAAATAAGAAAAACGGGGTACTTTGTCTCCTTAGCTTTTATGAGCTGGTATGTTATTTGTTTTTGTCCATAATTTTGATTAATGTAATGGAATTCCTTGTATTAGTTTTTATTTATTGATTGCTGTCCAAACAAACTATTATTGAGCTTTCATTGTTTTCTTACATTGAAACCTTATCAGTTCCTCATTGATTATTTTAAACTTTGTTTGAGAAACAAAGATAGTGTAATTTTATTGTCAATGTCTAAGATTATGGGCTTAATTAAGAGTTCTTATTTTTAAATCTCAGGTTATCCCTATATTTGTTCTTCCCAATCAGAAACAAATGTTTGAAAATGTTTATCTAAATATTTTTATAGGCTTGAATAAAGCCAGGACTTGTTTTACTCTTAAGTAACTAAAAGATTGATATTTTCACTTCATTTTATCTCAAAATTGGTGCTTACAAACGTTAGATCTTGTTGTTATGAATGCTAAAATATAATATAACATAATCTTGCTAATTTTTTCTTTTCAAGAGGTTAACCTTCCTTCATTCCCTTTAGGTTAACATTCCTTCATTATGTGAAAATCATCTGTAATAAAAATCCAATAAAAATGTTTTACATTTATAAAAATAACAAACTTGTTTCCACTACAACTCAAGAAGGGTGTTAGGTTCAGTATTATGTAAGGAAGTACTGTTTCTTGGTCAATGGTAGTCCAAGGAGGTGCTTTGACCGAGATCACTTTCAACCGCTAGGTTTTCCCCCGAAGGTGCTCCAGGAGGTCTCCCGACCCCAGGGACAATCCACAGCTCGCGTAACAGTATAAGTAATTACCTGCTATCATCCGGATTCGAATCCGGGTCCTTGAGCTTTGGAAGTCAGTGTCCTTTCTACTGAGCTACCTCACTCCCCCACTTTCATTTATATTAGATAATGATAATTTAAATTCATAAAAACTGTAATGAATATTAAATTTACTGTTTGCTAAGATATTTAAACTTTATCCCTAAATTCTCAGATTAAATTATTTTCATAATCAGAATTAACCTTGATAAAAAATCTTGAATCTGCGTCATGGTAACTTAAAAATGGACCAATAAAAGAAAATTTATATGTTTAGTTTCAAAAAATTCTTTTCGGGCCTAATAAAGGTGGCTTAGTTGTCTCAAGTAAAGAAGCTTAATTTAGAGGTGCCCTGTCAACTATTAATGGATTCATATGAATGTAGGAGCAGATTAATATGAGTTCAAAGCCTATCCAGCATTTTCTTTAAATGTTATTTCTTATTGTGATAAGCCTATGTAGAAGTGAATTCAAGTCACTTATGTTTGAAAATCATGTAATTTATTTGCATTTGCAGGAGGATGACAAACACATATCAAGACAAACTCTTGAGCCAAGTACACAAATGTAATAAACTATATGAATAGTATAGATGTATTATGTAAATCGCCGTTAACAAAGCTCCGTTTTTCATGTATATTTTATTTAATATATGTATAGATTTTAACCATATCGTTTCTTTTTTTTTTATTGGGTAACTATTGTAAATAATAAAGATTATTGATTCGAACTTATTTTTATTAGTATTTTATGCATTTTTAAAAATATATGTACATTTATATGTCTGACTCTCTTTCTCTATGGCTTGGCCCTGGAACATATAGCGAGGAGATCTAGAATCCAAGTTGGAGGTTCAATGTATAGATTTTAACCATATCGTTTCTTTTTTTTTTTTTATTGGGTAACTATTGTAAATAATAAAGATTATTGATTCGAACTTATTTTTATTAGTATTTTATGCATTTTTAAAAATATATGTACATTTATATGTCTGACTCTCTTTCTCTATGGCTTGGCCCTGGAACGTATAGCGAGGAGATCTAGAATCCAAGTTGGAGGTTCAATTTTCAAAAGAACTCCAGTGATCCTTGGGTATGCGGATGATATTGACATTATGGGAAGAACTTTTGAAGCTATGAAAGAGGCATTTTTGGCGCTCTTATGTGCAGCTGAAAGAATGAGACCTGTTATTAATGAGGCAAACATAAAATGCATGACTACAGTCCCTTGTGGAAGAGAATCATACATACTTATTGGGACTTATACTTTAGAGAGTGTGGAGGAATTCATATATTAAGGCTTGCAAATGAATTCCCAAAATGACATTGCACAAGATATTCAGCATTGGATTGTCTCTGCATTAATATGCAGATGCTACTCTACCATGGACTACTTGGATATTTCAAGAACAGACTAATATCTAGAGCCACTAAGGTCTGCATCATTATTTTCTTTATTATTATATCCCCTTTTCTGGAATTTTTGCCATGCTGGGTTTCAGCAGTGCGTTTATACGTTGGAAATACGTACCTCTACTGCTACCAATACTCTTAATAATAATACTCTTCATTTTGTTTTATTTTTACTGCGGTGCGGCCCGGTGCACAGGTTTGCTTCTTACCGATGGGACTGCACCTAGTCTCCAGCTGGTTGCGCATCTTGCCTTCCTGGGTAGCTTCCTCCAACAGTTCGATGGTGCCTCTCCCGGTCCTCTTCCTTATAGCCTACTCGTAGAAATCATCTCCTTATTGAAAAGTACGTAGGTTCCATCTTTTGTCTCCATTTTTCCACGAACTCCTAGAAGTGGGGGTATTTATCCTCTTCCATCAGTCGAGGAAGATCCTCTTCGTTTAGGGAGTACAGTTCCGTCCTCCGCATCAATATGCCTCTGGCTTGCTCCATCGCGGTGCATGATATAACCACATGCTCAGCCATATCAGGGGCACCGCAGTCGATGTTCGACCCCTAATTTGCCTTCAATCTGGAATGGACGGTGGGAAAGTTCTTTCTCATGGTGGCTCCATTCTCACTTGCAATCCATCGCCCATTCCACTCCTCTAGTGTCGCCTCTCGGACTATGCCACCCCATCTTCCTGGATCCTCGCGGACCCTCCGCTGAAGCCTCTCTGGAAGTGCCTCTAGTCCCTGCCTTTTTCGGTCATTCCTCCAAGCACCCTCCTGAAGGATGAGGTCCAGGGGCAACTCCCCAGCCGGTACTTGCACCACTTCGTGGGACACGGTTCTGTAAGTCCTAGTCGTCCTCATCAGGACGAACCTTTGGATGGTGGCCATCTTCTTCTGCACCTGATTCAGGCGACAGCTCCACGCTGGGATGCATACTTCAGTATATCCAGCACAACTCCCTTGCAGATGATTCTCGTAGCTGGGTATCTGAGGCTCCAAAAGGCACCCCCTACCCGTGCCTGGCCATTTAGGGACAGGGTCACTCTACTCCGTAGGTAGTCTATCTGAGGAGAAATATTGAATTTTGATTTAAATCTCATGTCTAGGTACCAACCAAGTAGATAGGTATAAACCAAAAGGATCAGTTGTGTTTTGGCTAAATGAGTCACTGGTGAAAGGAATCTCTAAGAGAGGAGACATGCCATCCAGTAAATAATAACTTATAAATTTTTGTTTTATGTTAATTATTGTTTTAATTGAATAAATTATTTATGTTTATTTTTTAAAAATAATTTGGGGACCTAAAGAAATTTAAAAAATGTTATTATTTTAAACATCATAAATATAAATTATATTCATGTTTGATTTCAATGAATAAATAAAATCTTGAAAGTATATTTTTTTCTAGAAAATTCAAACAGCAGATTCACCCACTTGCTGTTTAAAATGAAGAAATGTGATTCATTGAGCACATTAGTAAGATTTTTGTGAATCTATTTTTAAAATTATTTTTTGACATTAATTTTATTTTTGACTTTTGCAGGCACATCACAACTTGGGTACTCCTCTTCCTGAGAAATTGTATTAATAGCGATTATTTTTATTGTTATGTAATTTCCTGTGGAAAAAAAATTCCATTTATAAGAACTTTGTATCTGAGAATTTTTTTCAGAACTGTTCGTGTACATATCTAAGGCAGTTCTTATTTTTACATGATTTGTGCAGCATAACATTTAATATGTGGCATTATTGATATAATTAATTATGAAATGCATTGTACATAAAATTTTGGGATCAATTCAATTAATGGAAATATTATTGGATATGATTGCCAACCTTGTAGATAAGCGTGTATGAGGAATGCATGTCATGAATGTTTAAATGCATTGAGGCTACCGGTACCAATGTAGCATGATAATGTTGTTACCCTTCATGATACCTTCTATTTAATAAATATCTATACCTAAATGTTGTATCGGCAGTTGGGCATTTCTCATGTGATCTAGTGAGGAATAAGTATGAAATGCAATAAGTTTTTATTGTACTTGTTATTAATGGATTCCTCTTCCATGAGACACAACAGTGTTTATGTAAATTGTATATTTTGATTGGAAATTTGTATATAACTACCGGATTTAAGTCGACAATGATCTTTTTTTTTATTGTAATTAAAACTATTTAAAGTGAAATTTGGTAGAAATAATGCTCATAACATGTGTTTATCTCTGTGAAGTAGAGGTAAATATTTTAGAACTGAGGCCTTTGCCCTCGTGCCATTATCCTCCTTTCCCTCATCTTCTTGCTGTACCGTGCCTCGCTCCCAGTACAGAACTCGAAATAACAAGAACCTTTGAACAGTGTAAATAGTTATCTGATTGAATGTTAAATGTTAGTGAGATTATGTAAATTTTTTTTCTATTTTCTCTCTTTTTCTTTTGATAACTATGTAAGTCATGTTTATAGATGTAAATTTGAAGAAAGAAAAAATATAAAATGATTACGTCATTTTATTTTTTTATAAATTAATACTAATTATATTCTGCCTGGATATTCTTGTTTAAAAGAATGCACTGCTGTATAATTCTTATTTGAGGTTGTACTTGTAAAATCAAATTTTGTATATATTTAAATGTGGAGAAATGATGTGCTTATTTTGTACGAAGCCCTATTCTCTCCTTTCCTCAATTAAATAAGGAGTGATAATAAATTGGAGTCAACAGTTTTATTATAAACTTTAATTTCATATTTTTTGTGCATTTTTTTTTTCTATATAACTAACTGTTCCTTATCCTTGTTAGTTTTTCCTTTCTAGCAAAGATTTAAATTATGGAGTTCACTTAAATAGGTTGAGGATCATTCCTGATGACTAAAACTCATGTTTTTTTTATTGTTTCCTATTTCGGCCACATTGTTGAGGTAAAGGTAATGAAAAAACAACGTAGATACCGATTATAGAAAAAAATAAGATGCTACTTTCAATGTTAAAAAAAGTACTTGTATGGATTAGCTGTTACTAAAAGTTTATATAAAATTAAAATTATCAAGAAATATTGAAGGAATCCAGATTGCATAATATAAAAAGACAATCCCAAAATTGTTTCTAATGAAATAAGAATGAGAATATATTTAAATCAAAATGTTTTAATTATGAACCTAAATTAATTATATTTTGTTATAATTTATATAGAACTTGAATTTTGTTTAAAATGAAAATCATTAATTTGATTTACATTTTTTAAATGTATTTAATCTGTTGGATTGTTGAAACTTCATTCTCGACAAATCTTTCAGGCTTTATACAGGATGCAACAGGAACAGCCAGACCATAGGCTAAGAGGTGATTTCACTCCTCGTTTGTTATAATTAAGTCCCGCTTGTACAGGTTCTGATTCTCCACTTAAAGATTGCTCGTTTTGTGTTTTTTAAATGTTTTTAGTGTTAATTTTCTTAATTAATACCTGATGGGTGCGCATATTCACTTATTATCCTACATTGATTAAAAATAGCTATTTTCATATACAAAAAAGTGGAAGCAAAAAATTATAGATGACATGTTTTTCTAACCCATTGAATCTTTTGGAAAATTCTTGAGCTGATCGGAAACAACTCTCATGGATGAAATTCATTTAAAAAAGGAGTTAATATTATGTATTATTAGGTTGATAGTATATTCTCAAAATGTCTTGTAATTTTTTTTTTTTAATTATGTGTAAATTAAATAAAACTATGTAATATATAATATAACTCCTTTACAGAGGAGTGGATAGGGTAGGTGCACTCAACTGTTTCTGAAGGTTTTAGTTCTCAACACTATTTCTCTTTTAGTCAATTATCAATTTTTTTCTATGCCAAAGACCCATTTAAATCCCATGCTGAATTTTTTTTCTTCATCAATTATATTTTTTTTTTATTTATTTTTTTTTTTTAGGTTTTGATCATGGATGCGAAATCGTACTCCAATCATTTTGTTGATAGTTTTTTTGGTAGACGACTTTAATTTAATGTTGTTTTATAATGGACATATTTAATGTATAAATTTGTCTCAAATAGGTTGAAAATTCGTGTCGGTGAATATTTCAGATATTGTATTACTATATCTATATCTATATTTACTACTAGTAAAAATGTAAGTAAAATGGTTTATTTTTTTAAGTAAACAAAATTTAAAGTTTAGGGCACGGGCGGATCTACGGGGGGGGGGGGGGCTTTCTGAAGCCTCCCCCAAAATGGAAAAATATAACCATGTTTTATGGGAAAACAAATTTAAAAAATACCTCTTAAGTATTATTGTTCGTGTAATTACATTTAAAAGTACTTAAGGAATAACTTAAACACCATTTCATATAGGTAGTTAGTTTCTTTCTGTTTTTCAAAGTAATTATCATTATTTTTATGAAAAAAAAAGGTTTCGGGCTGAAGCCCCCCCCAAAATTAAATCCTGAATCCGCTAGTGGTTTAGGGCCTGTTAGACTCAAGGAACATATATAGTTGATATAAATATAATATCAACTATATATTAAAGAGCACAGCCTGCCTGATATTAACGAGCAGATGACTTCACATAGATATAGCAAAATTAATCAAAATCTTTGTGAGCTGTTTTTGAGATAATTATAATTTTGTGTAAAATGTTTATTATAAAGACCTCTTATGGTTAGTCAATTTTGATGAAAAATTTACTATGGCATCCTAGCCCTAGACCTACTTTTTCATTTTGAGTTATGCTTTTCACACACATACAAACACTAATTCATTTCATGAATCTTTTTTTTTTTTGGACTCAAAACTGCAGAAAACTCTGAAAATTTTCATGGTGCAATACTTCCCTTACTAAATATTTATATATTGATAAGTGAAAGTAAATAAAGGAATAGTTAACCTGAAATATTTGGTCTGGAGAAATTTAAAATACGCCATTGGAATGGATTTATTTTCCTGTACTGATATAATTTGAAAACATGGGTCCAGAAAGGAATAAATAATGTAGCACCATTATGGAGCAGAAAAGAGCCACTTTAATTAGGTGCATGTGCTGGAAAAGTCAATGGTAAAGTGATCATCCTTCCAAATTGTTGGGACTAGTCTCAATTTTTAGGTAAAATAAAGAAAAATACGTTGGCGTACTTCATGAATGACGTTTCATGAAAATTGATATTGGGCCGGGCCATTTATGAATGGTTCAACTCAACAAAGATGGCGTTGAATAGAATGAGGCATTTTTTGAAATAAAAACATGAAGAAAAATAAGGTTACTTATACATACATCAGTGATAGTAGTTGATGAAATTTGATAACATTTATGAAATAGTACCATATAGATACATATCCGTGAAAAATTCAATATCGATTTTACAGTTGTATGTGCTATTTCCTTTATATATTTTTTCTTGACAGGACTTGAAACCACATTTGTACCTTGATGTCTAAAGGGCCTCTTACAGGGTCATTATATTGAGGTCAATCAAACTGGTTGATTTCAAAATTAGTCATAGTCAAAATTAGATGACGGATATCTCGAAAACTAAGCGACGTAGCGAACAAAGGTATATAATCAGTCCTCTTACAAATTTTATCAGCTTTAAGTATGCATTGAACATTTTTATCGATGCGATGGATAGTTTTCCTGACATAAGCGAAAACTCGAAAAAAGTGATCTAGGTATCCCTCCCCCACATCAGGCGCACCACCTAGGAGTGGAGACTTTTAGTGTGTTAGCCTTCTAGCTAGTCCAAAAAATGTGTCCCCGTCATTCATTAACTCTCTTTCCGAGCATTCATTAACTGGACTATAGGTGGGTGATAAATTTAATAACATTTTTTTTTTTATTGCTAAACTTTCTGTTTAATACTAAATAATTAGAAACCAAGAACAGAACCAATTTGGAACAAGAAACGTTTTAACGTCTAGAAACAAAATAAACATTACAAAGAACTTTTTTTTTATACTAAAGGCAATTAAAGTAATATGAAATTCATTATTATTCATTTACACAAAAAAGAAAGATTACCTCCTTTAGCCCTGGAGACAGAGACCGAAAACCTTGCGAAGGTTTGATTGTAAATTACGAAAGTCTATGTTATTCTGAGTAAAAAGAACCTTTTTTGTATTTCCAGAGCCTGAAATGGGCCTAATATTCTTAAAATCAGCCGCATTTTTTTAAAGGAACGGCAGACAAGGTTCTTTTTACTCAGGATAACATACACTTTCGTAATTTACAATCAAACCTTCGCCTGCGACGATGAGATAGATTTTTGTACTGTCTCCGGTGCTATTTGGAAACCTTGTTTAATGGAAGCAAATTCTTCCTGATATTGACCCGTGTGAGTTACCCCTTCAATTATATTGATTATATTAACTATTTTCGATTCTGTGGACATTTTTTTTTTATAATATATTTTTTTTATAATTGACTGAAGAGAATCATGAACTGTTTTTTAAGATTCGTCTTCGGCACTTCGAGATGGTCTCATGTGTCCCACCTATGTGCCGAGTCAAAGTGGCTCTTCCCCTCTTCCCGCCGCCTATACTTCCTTGGAAATTTCTTATACCAAACGATCAACTCCCAGCACCCTTCCTATATCTGTTGTCTCCTCCAGCCTAAGCCCTTAGGCCACTCAATAAAAACGAGATCCCGTGTTTCTGACCTCTATATTCCATTCCACAGGACAAAAACCTATGAACGTTCCTTCTTAGCCCGCTCCGTCTCCTATTGGAATTCTTTGCCGCATAACATCCGCCATGCCTCTTCCCTGTCAACTTTCAAATACCTCCTTTTCCAATATCTCCTTACATCCCAAACAGAAGATTTACCACCATAAATTTCATTTTATGAACTGAATTTGTGTGAAGTAAATAGTGGTGCCTACTGTTTAAGTTTTAACATAAAACAGCAATGATCTTTGTCACCTAGTTTGACTATTATTTTTACTATTTATTTATTTTTCTCTTCTCCTCAGGTTGTGCTTTTTTTTTTTCGGGTATATATGTTCATATTTTATATCTTTGTCTTTATGTGTGCCAATATGAGAATGTACGTATAAATAGTTCCTTTTAGTTATTTTTTTTTTCCATTACACCACAAGTATCGTATCTTAGTGTCTGCATATTATTATATAAACCACTGTAGATATTATTTCATTTTGTATTAAGTTAGTTTTCTATTAGATAGCCTATTGTTTATAAATTGTGTAGTTATGTATACATAAATATGTAATTTCTCTTCTTTTTTTTTTTTCATCACAATTAAGTAATTTTGAGAAGATTTTATGTTCATTTGTATATATATTTTATTTTTTATGTTTTACTGGTTAAATACTTTTTAAATAATGTATATAATATTAAAATTTTTAGAAGTTAGTTTTTGGCCAGATTTGTACTTTACTTTGTATTAACTCATCATTGTTATTCTAAAGGGACTTAGTCCCAGAATAAAGTTTAATTTTCTATTCTATTATATTCTATTCTATATGATAAATTTATGAACTTGCATACTAATTAGATAGGCAGATATAAAATAATTTTATTCTGAAACAATGCTCCTTAAGAATAACAAGATCATACAAAAATAAGAGATTTCTTTTAGCCTAAGGTTTGGAACAGTAAAAAACAAAAATGATATAAGAAAAAAAGTAAAGAAAACATAATGTGAACATGCAAAACAAATAAAACTATACACGAGACACTTACGGCTATATACAAAACATTTATAACTATTTACAATGGAAAAACAGTATAAATCTACACTTTTAAGAAAAATCAAAGAAAAAAATTAAATTAAAATGTTATCAATAAAATTTGAGTTTCCACTTGGAAAAAAGAAAGTCAAATATGTCCATGAAATGTCTCAAGCCTAGTCCAGACTAGTAAACATGTTGCGCGATTTTTGTCTCTGAGACGTCTCAATTTTTCTACGTAGACATGTCTATAGAGCGATGTCCGTCTACAGGCCTGTTGCGAAACCAATAATCGCAGGGCTGAAGTCTCCCGATCGTGTCTCTAGACGGTAGATAGACCTCTCGAGAGCGTCTCTAGACGGTCTATAGAAAATTCGCCCAACAATGTCTACTAGTGTGGTCTAGGCTTTAGTATGAAAATTTTAACTAATATGTAAATTTATCTAAATAACATACAATACAAATAAATAATAATATGTAAATATTCCATGAGAAGAGAGGGATCAGGTATATATATACACCTGATCCCTCTCTTCTCATGAAATATTTGCGTATTATTATTTATTTGTATTATATATATATCCTTTTCTCCCAGTGAGTTATTACTACTCTTGGCAGATAGTGGTTGATTGGGAATGGAAACTGTTTGGACACGTTATGAGAGAAAAGATTGGGACCAAGAAATGGAACTTCTGGAAAAGGATAATGATTTTAAAAATAGGTTTTCAAGATAGGATTTATAGAGTGCTACCAGCGGGTAGTTTCTCAACAAGCGTGTTTCATGTAATAATATTTCTCTGTACTAGATGTATTCATACTAATACAGTTGTAAATATCATAATAAAAGTTTAAAAAAAAGAAAGATAGGATTTGTCATTGGAGTTAGAGAGGAAATTGATTGACCGGATGTGATTTTTCTGGGATAGAAAGGAACAACGTTGAATAGTGTTGATTCGAAGGATGGATTAAATGGAATGTGTGGAGGACGATATACTACGACATAAAGGAGAGGAAAAATATTACAGAGGATTTATATTAGGAGGTATTCAACTTGTGGATGATCGGAAGGTGGGGAGCAATCGAGGACTCGGGTCGTCAGGCTTTTGAGGACAAACACGTCTACTCCACCGCCAGTCTGGCTCATGGTCGTGATGGAGGAGGATGTAATTATTCAAGGAGACAGAAGAGGTAATTATGTTACCAATACGTCCTTTCATTCTAGAAAGATTTTTTTTTTCTGTTTAGCAAAACTAAGAATACAAAATTTACAATATCATCTAAATAGCTAGCCGTCCAACATATTTCTCCAGAACTTTGGAAACCGTAAGAAACTATGTTGACATGAAGAAATTTAAACTAAACTTTTAATCCCACTTCTGTGGTATTGTTCTGTATTGAAAACAATAATACATACTGCATTTCATTTGATCCAAAAGCGGTCGCTGGAAGTTTCCAAATTTAGTGTTAACATATATTACATGCGTTACAGTTTTTGTTTCTTGCTTTTGATATTTTCCATCTGCTGTCGGTATCAAGAGAAATAAAATAAAAAGTTTGGTTTAGCAAAAATGTCGCTGTTAGTTACCTTTAAAGTTACCTGTTAGATCAGGGGTTTCCAAACTTTTTGGTGCGCGGTCCACATTGAGACCTCGACTGAGTTCTGCGGGCCGCATTGAGACTTTCAACCAGCACCGCAGTCCATGACTTGTGATGAAACAAAAAACTTCTTTAAATGACGCGACACTGTGCTTTCTAAGAGAAAAAACACATGCAATAAATGTAGTAATCTCGTGTGTGAGCCATTTGCTAAAGAAACTTTCGCGGGCCGGATTGATGGTGCTTCCGGTTGGGATCCGGCCAGCGAGCCGTAGTTCGGAGACCCCTGTATTAAATAAATATATTTCCCAAAGTCGGTGAAATGACTAAACGCCCCTTGGACACATGCAGTTTTTTTTCTTGGTCTTGTGATATTTATTTTTAGTCAACTAATTTGAGTTGAACTAATTTTCGATCGGCCAATTTGGAGATTTTAAACTTCATTTATATTTTTTATCTGTTTATCTTTACACATGTTTGTAGGAGTTTCGTGAAATATTCGCCCATGATCCGAACTTTAAAATAATATTTTTTAAAAATTTTATTGTCACTTCCATACATATCTAATATCGCATTGTCTGTCAAAATCAACAATGATTTTTTTTTAATAGTAAGTCAGGCATAAGGAACTTTTATGACATAAACATGTTATTTCATGCGATTGTTCAAGACTTCATATTATACATAATAAATTATTAGTTACTTATCCTACTTTTTAATTACCATAATTAAAAGCTATCATGTATCAGTTATAATAATTGCATTATAATGTATCAGAGTATTAAAAAATTAGAAAAAGAAGTGTTTTTTTTTCATAATATTCCTCGGAATGTCATTACATAAAATTACTACATTAAAAAAATGAAAAGTTTAAGAATATATAAAATTGTCGTATTAAGATATTGACAATTGGAAATTCCCAACCAGATTAATTCAAGAAAATTAATTAATTTTTGGTAACGGAGGTATGGTTTTATTGTTTTTTTAATAATATTATAAATAAGATATTGACCGTAGTACTAAAGTAAATATATTTAAATATTAATTTATTACTAATGATATACCCAATACTAATTGGGTAGATGTTGGACGTTATAAAATGAATGTTAATTCTGAATCGAGCTGATAATAGTAATTTCCTCATCAGACACACATCAGTTTTGAATATTATCCATAGATGAATGCTTTTAAACAAAGTAGCTTAGAATAGCATTTTTAAATGATGTGATTAAATTTCAATTGTATTTTAATTTTCTAATTAAAGTAAAAAAATAGAAGTGTATTGTTTTGAACAGTGTGGGGATTATAGAGCAGAAATTCTGGGAACTGTCACATTTCGTGTAACGGTTGTCTCTGCTATCAGTGGAAGAAGGTTTCATGATGGTTATGCTGTTGAAAAGTATTAGGTGAAAGCTTGAAAGTATGTTTCAGTAGAGTTGCCGTATTGGTGGTATTGATATTTATAGAGAAGTATGGTATCTTGTCGACTCACAGTATTTTAACAAGTTCAAATTAATAATGAATAGCGAATTTGGTGTTTTGACATTATTGTCAGTGATAATGTTATGTGGGAGTTATGGAGCAGGATGTATACCATTAATTATGCCGATGTCTGAGGTAATTCATTACTAAAATCATCTCTTAAAACGACTGTTTTATAATATTATAGTTACTGGTAAACCATGGTTGATTACAGAGCAAACTGCAGATGGTATCTGTTTTCGGAGCTGGACTACTTGTTGGGACAGCACTTTCTGTTATTATTCCTGAAGGGATCAAGGCTTTGTTTTCATCAGTCCCTCTACACAGTTAGTAGCAAGTGACTTTATTTTGCTATACACTTTCTTATTGTAAGTAAAGTTTGTTGAATGCTTCTACTTACATTATGAACTGACTGCCTTGCCATTAATTGTTTTACTAATGAATTTCTTAATTTGCAGAAAGTGTTGGAAAAGTTGTATCTACTGTAGATGCCGCATTAGAAGAACATGGAGAGGATGATCTTCACTCTGCTATTGGACTTTCATTAGTTCTAGGGTTTGTTGTTATGTTGCTTGTGGACCAGATCTCTTCAAGACATAATAGAGGTAAAACACAGATCAAAACAAGCTTTTATTCTTTGAAGTTGTTTTTAAATGTGTTTATTATGAGACCATATTTGTGTTAATCAAATCAGTTCTTAGTTCATTTTATAAGGCTTTTGTGCTTGACAGCAGTTGAATATAAAAACTTTTTATTTTATTTCTTCTTAAAATCTTTTAATATCCATGTTTTGCTCTTTAATAACAACCTTATGGGAGAATTGTGTATTTATAAATTGTACAGATACCATTCAACTACGTATATTACTTGTATAATATTTTTTCAAGATTTTTTGTGTAAACATTAGCTGATGAAAAAACATAAAAAGAAAGAAACACTAAATTAAACAGAAAAGAAAATATGTATATAAAAAAACAAAACAATACAAAGCAGACCATATAAATTAAACATCAAGAAAAGTTAAGTGCATAAACTAAAAAAAAAAAATATATATATAAGAATATTCTTTTTCAAAATTTACTAAATTGTTTAATAATATTGAACAATGCTATTGATTCATTAACTCCTTATTTCATTGAAAAAAAAAATTTTTTACACTAATAAAGTTTGTTACTAATAATAGTAATAACTGAAATACTAAGTATATACTGTAATTACGTATCTACTGTTATCTATAGGGGTTGCCTTATTTTAATGAATGAATGGTGTAGAATTGTTGACACAAGGAGCTTATCTTATTTACCCAAAATATTGAGCTCTTTAGCAAAAATAAAAAAAAAATTATTTGCTATTAATTGTGATTTTATTATTTTTTCTCTCTACCTAATAAACATTATTTTGATTTGAGCAGAGATTTTCAATAAGAATAAAATTAAGGGAGTCCCATACAATTTTCTGAAATAGTTTAAATAAGCAAAACATTTATTATTATATGGCATTTAATATTTTACAAAAAAATCCCTGGAAAAAAATGATATTTAATATAATATTTTCCCAAAATTTTAATTAAAAAAATGTATGAATTAAGGTTAAAATTTTTTTTTTTTAGTTAAGGAAAAAGTATACTAATTATTGATGATATTAAAAAACATTTGCTACTGTTGAAAACCGAAATGATTTTAGATCAAATAAAAACTTTCCTCTCTTTTTAAAAACCATTATATGCTAAATAGATTTAGACATATTAAAGCAAAATGAATTATTGAAACATTGAAGGTATATAGTGTACTATTTAGAAAAAGGTCAGATTATAAAATTTATTAAATTAAAATACTGTTTATATTAAATTAAGTTTAAGCAATAGAGCAGATAAAACAAATTAATTTTCTATGACTATGAAAGGGAGAGTTAAGAGGAAGAAATTTTATATCATTTCAAAAAATAGAAATTTTTAAATAGAGAAGATTATTTTAAATACTTTTCTTTGTCAAGGTATATATAAACTATTCATTATTATTAATTAATTGTAAATTATTATTAAATTTATAAATCATTATAAGATATCAATAAATTAAACAAATTGCTGTTTAATTTATCTAAACCTTCAATTTTGGTAGTTTTCAGAAGTTGAAAATTGAATGATCTAGTCTACAATAGGAATTATAAGTTATTGAATACAATATTCCGTTACATTTCATGTTCTTTCAATTAGCATTTCAAGTATAATAAAGAATAATTCAAACGGAAGTTAATGATTTCATTAAGAATGGATTTATGATGAATGATTGAACTGAGGACTGATGCAAACAATCCTCCATAAACATTTTTTAAGTTCTTTAAACTTTGAATTTTTTTTTTTTGCTTTCTAGAATTTACTTTTAAATTAAAACTTATTTTAGATATAGAATAATAATAAATAATCAGCATTTGCAGGCTTTATTTGTTTTAATCAGCTTGCCAATGTTTCGAACCCAAGCAACATCAATGGGTCAATATCAGGGCTGAAAATTAAACATTTTCACACACACACCTATTTATTGCTTGTGATCTCAGTCTAATCATCCTCTTGGACAACTACTGACCAAGAAATAATACTTCCTTATATATACTTACAAAATGGAAATGGGTTTAATGGTGTCTTAGTGCACCAATTCTGAAAAATATTAAAACAACAGTTAAAAAAAAATAAATAAAAAAAAGTCTCAATCTTGTTTACATGTTTATTTAATGAATGTATTATTTTAACCACATTTAGTTATTGCTTTGGTAATTTTAAATATAATCAATTTAGAAACTATGATTTATGTTCGAAAATATATCTAAGAGGATAAATTAAAAATTAAAAATAGTTTTAATGTCTACAAATACTGATTTCCTTTTGTCTAGATTTTAAGTGATTTTTTAAAAATTTGCTAATATTATTTGGAGCATATTATGCAAAAGTGTTTTATTATTATCTGAGATTTATTATAGATTTTATTTCAATTAGTGTGTATCTTATGTTTTGTATGATTATTTTCCTGCAAATATCAGAAAAATGTTGTCTTATGGATACATTTGATATACTATCTATTATGGTAACTTTAATGATTGTTTTAGATGTTGAAGGAGGTATCAACCGTGGTCCAAAGTTAACAGCTACGGTTGGTCTTGTAGTCCATTCTGCTGTTGATGGGATTGCTCTAGGTGCTGCTGCCACCACGACTCATACTGATGTTGAGTTTATTGTTTTTATTGCCATCATGCTACATAAGGTAGGAATATTGTTGTACAAACATTTTATTAATTATATAATCTGTATTACCACAACTCTGAATCATTTTATTAAGTCCTCTTTTGTAAAAATATCTGGAGTTGAATGAATTTCATTGCCTATCTGTTCTATTAAGTCCACAATTTGAAGCTTGAATAATTGAAAGATCAATTCGATCTGATTATCTGTGGAATATATTTTTAAAAGTATTAACAATTTATGAATGGTACTGGTAAAAAATAAGGGCTTACTATCTTCCCAACATTAAAAGTTTAATTTTCACCAAAATATCTGTTACCTGTACTTAGTGAATGTTTATGTTGTAACAAACTTTGAATTCTTGAAAATTTGTAATTTTTACAATTGATTCAAATTTTAATTCAATTAAACCTATTATTGTTTATTGTGAGATCCCTTATTTTTCCTTTTTGCATTTGTTTGTTCATTTTTGATGTTATGATATTTAATATATATTTTTATAATTGATACTCATTTTTTTTTTCATGCAATAAGCAAGCTCTTAAATTGTGTCCTCTGCCATGTAAAAATTTTTATGAGGAAGTGAACATAATTTGGTATCTATTTGCTGTTTTTTATATTTTAGGCACCTGCTGCTTTTGGATTGGTGTCTTTTTTGATGCATGAAGGACTGGATAAACAGAGAATAAAAAGACATCTCCTTATATTTTCATTATCAGCACCACTTTTTGCACTGATTACTTTCTCCTGCATTGGTCAGGTAAATAAATTTCTGTTCATAAAATTTGTTTTATTCAATTATTTTTCTGATTTCCCCTCAAATAACCGGTTGCATCCCTTGTACAGGAAAGTTCTTTTTTGCCTCTTTCCTCCTCCCTCATCATTAACTCATTATTATCAAATTTAGAACAATGTCTGTGACTTTTTTTTTTTTGTTATATCACCATTTTTATCTTATGAGGCTAGTGTGGAATAAGAACATTCTAAATTTTACCAAGTTCAACTTTTAGTAATTATAAAACCCATATTTGTTAGATTTTTCCCCTTAGTTTAAAATTGTTCCTGAGGCAATTATGTTTTAAATATTATTGAAGGAAGTTAGTCGACTGTTCTACATATCATGGGTGATAAATATTAGGACGCAGTCTTTTTAAAAATTTTTTTTTAAAATTTTTTATTTGTGCCAACGTTTCAACCCTAACGTTTGGGTCATCAGTACTGCAGTACTTTAACACCCTCAGTGCTTAAACCATGCCCTGAAGATGATCCACATGTTTGGGTTGAAACGGCACTAATAAAAAGTTTTAAAAAAATTTAAAAAAAATGAGCCCTGAATATTTATCACCCATGTTATAAATATTACCTTCTAGTTCATGTTTTAATTATGTACATTTTTATGAGATTAGTATTTGAGTACTAGCATAAATTTTCAATTTTTATTCATTGGTAAAGGTTAAGTTATAACAATTTAAATGCAAAAATTCCCGAATTTCTCTGATACATATTTACTAAGGTGAATGTGTTGTAGAAAAGTGGTGAGGACGGCTCTAAGTTACGATTGTGGTGACACGGCTAAGTCATTCTAGCACTAATGATTCTTTTTTTATTTCTATATATTTTTTAATTCACAACTGTCAATGTCCACTGACAACCAGTGAATGAGATTACTAAATACAAATAAACTAGGAGAGAGGGCATGATAGGCATGAGGAAGAGAAAAAACTCAGTGGCTAATCTTCAGTCATGTTAGTGGTTAATTAAGGAGATCTCTTATCCAACTCCTTTTCAGCTTTCAGCGGATTTTATCTGGCATGTTTTTATTGGCCATGTCTTGGATGAGTCTATTGGGGTGACCATAAAGCTTGTTGTGAAACCTTTTGTAATAAGCTTGTATGTGTTCTGTGAAGGTTTTTGCATAAGTCTTTGTGGATAGTTTTGTTTCTAACGTACCGAGGTTCTTGAGTAATTTCCTGAAGATTTTGGTCTTTTTTAGCAATTCCATATATTTGTGACGTGTATGTCCAAATTGGTTTTAGTAAGTAAGTGTAAGTGTTAAGTTTTTGTCTTAGGACTGGTTTTGAGCGATGTACCAGTAGGAAATATAGTAGTCTAAATCGTTGATCTTTCGCTTAGCAGTGATGTGTGGGCCCCATGTCATCCGTCTGTCAAATGTTAGACCTAGGTAATGTACTTTGTCAGATTGGGGGATATGTTCATTGTCAAGATAGACTGGAGGACAGTTTTCGCGTCGGAGTGAAATTGTTATGTGTTGGGATTTGTTGTAATTTAGTTTTATTTTCCAAAGTTTGTCCAAAGTTTGCGGGTGATTTTGTAGACTATATGAAGCATGTGAGGTCATTGTGCCTTGTGATAATAGTGTCATCAGTATAGGTGGCTATCAAAGTGTCACTGGGGAAGGGTATGTCATATGTATATTATGTAAAGCAGTGGTGCAAGAAATGATCCCTTGGGCACTCCGGCCAGAATTGGTCTGATAGAGGAGATCTCAGAGCCTTGTCGAACTGAGAAAAATTTAGTAGGTTACAGAGAGGTATGATGTTGATATGAGTTAGTATATGGGAGGAAGTATTTTCTTGAGTTTATAAAGAAGTCCCTGGTGCCAGACCCTATCAAATGCCTCTGCAACATCCAGAAATACACCAGTAGCATACATCCTTTGCGCTAGTGCTGTTGATATGTAATCTGTGACTGTGTAATTGTTGGGTGGTGGAATGTAATGATCGAAATCCTAATTGATGTTTGGGTAAAATTTTTTGATCTGTTAATAATGTGTGGAGTCTGTTATACAGTAAATTTTCAAAAATTTTGGCACATGTAGGAAGTAGACTGATAGGTCTATAAGCTGAAGGAGAAGAAATTTCTTTACCTGGCTTATGCATCATGGATATGTATGAATACTTCTATTGAATAGAAAATTTGGCAGTCTTCATTAAAGATGGTATTTAGAAACACCAGACCTTCCCTGGGCATTTCCTGGAGCACTTTAGCGTTAATTAAGTCATAACTAAGGTTTTTCTTTCTTTGTAACATTTTAATTTGTTATGCAACCTGAGATGGGAAAAAGGAAGTGGGAGGAGGGGTTAAGTGGTGGGAGTGTCTAAGGAGTTGAGTACAAAGTTATCGTGTTCAGTGTTTGACTGATTAATATGTGGAGTGAAAACTAATGAGAGGTGGTTTGCAAAAAGTTCTGATTTTTATATCAAGTTCAACACAGCCCAGGAGTCATCATCTTTACGAAGTGGTGCTGACACCTGCCGGTGTTTTAGCAGCTTTTTTGTGTCTCCACAAGCTTCCATCATCTATTGAAAGATTGTTGATGTATATGTCGTACTTTTCTTGGTTGAATTTTTGTATTTGTCGTTTTAATTGGTTGTTTAGTCTGTTAAATGCCTGTTTATATGATGGGGAACTGTTCCTTTGCCAAACTTTTGAGCTCTTCTCTTGACTCGGATCAATCCCTTATGTATTGTGGGTAGTTTGCTAGATTTCCTGTTGTCCAAGGTTTGGGTACTGAAGATGTCCAAGCTGTATCCTGGATGCTCTTTGTGAAAATATCTACAGCTTCCTCCAGTTCTTTTTGTTTTTTGATAGATAATGGGATGGAAAAAGCAGCGTCCAGGTTATTCCTGTAGCTATCCCAATCAATTGTTCCGTTGATAAGAGATGGTTTTCTTATTGCCTCACATGGTTTATCCAGCAGCAGCAGATTCACAAGGGAATGATTGGAGCAAAGGTCATAGCTAGTATTGACGGAATGTAGTATAGTTTTCAATCCTTTGGTGATAAACAAGTCCAAAAATCAGGTGTTTTATGTCTAGAAGTGGGCCAGTAAGTTGGAGGGTTTGGAGTTATTTTATTCAGTGAAAGCTTGTGGAGGGCTGTCCTAAGATTCCTTCTCCTTGGAGTACAGAGTCAAGATTCCCATAACTAGTGTTTGCGTAGTACCTAAAAAATAGAAAACTGGCTAAGAGGAATGTTAATAACAAAGCTAAATTTAAATATTTTAATACGAATTGAGAGATCTAACTTAATCAAGAGATTGGAACTGATTTCTTTGTTCTTATTTCTTTCTTATTATACCTCACTTTCAAAAACTCACAGCTGATTAGTGAAACATTGGTGTTAAAATTCCATACTCCATAAAGGGCTGCTGAAATTCGGTTCTGGATTTGGATTTAACAAGATAATCGTACACTTACCCAAAAAATTCACTTACCTGACATAACCCCAGTTATCTGTACAGTTTAAATTAATTAAAATTTATCAGTTTTGAAAATATGTGGTTGCTTTAATCTGAATCAATATAAATGATTTATATATTTAATTTTTTTAACAGGAAGGTAAAGAGAAGTTGAGTTCCTTGAATGCTACTGGCATCGCTATGTTGTTTTCTGCTGGTACGTTTCTTTATGTGGCTACTGTTCATGTATTACCAGAATTAACCGGTAGACTTGGAGGGCACTTGGCACCGAGCCAGCTGATTGCCCTTGTTCTTGGGACAATGCTTCCGCTGCTCCTTTCAGCAGGTCATCATCACTAGATTTCTTATTAACAGAAGAAATCGTAAATAAATGGTAGCGTACTTTGATACTTTTTGTAAGATAAGTGTTTTTTTAAAAACTATAAGCAGTCTTTGGTATTCATTAATCCATTGCCAAAATTTGGATTGTACATCAAGGTTATTGAAAATTACAAAATATATTTTTTTAAATATTATTTTCAAACTATTTTAAGAATTTGTATTTTTTATATTAAACGGTTTGATTAAAATATTTTAAGACTTTTTTCATATATATTATCTGCTTATCACACAATATTGTTCTTGATAAATACTCATAGTTTCTTTGAATAAAGTGTAAATTTAAAAGTATTCTTTTTCTTTTATAATTATATTTAAACAAATGTATTACAATGGTATTAGTATTTATTTATTTATAAATGTGTACAAATATTCAGAAAGTTATTAATATATTATTTATTTAGAAATTATTTGGTTCTGTGAGTTGTCATGACTTTGGTTTGCAAGTTGAAAAATTATGCATTTGACTGTTTTAATTACTTCATCAATGAAACTCTTTTGACTTTTTTTCTTTCTCTGTTTTTTTTTTCTGTATAAAGTACTTGAATGTTTAATTTAATTCCTTTATAAGTTCTTTAATATTGTTTCTTTGAGAAATATATCTTTTTTTTTTACTGATTATTAGGATTGAAAAAATAACCTGTTAGTGCAAAAGTCGTATGTTAAAATTGAATTTTTTTTAACAAGACCATAAAAACTTATTATTTCTTTATGATTTATTAGTGTTATTTCATATTTTATTCTGCTATTTTTCCTATTTAGCTGACTACTTATAGCAGTTAAAGACTACAAAATGTCATGTTCAGCGCAAAGAGAATAAACATGTAAAATTGTTACCTACAACCTTTTGCACTAATAGTAGCGATATGTTTTAAACAAGGTATCAATAGGTTTTATAAAATTCAATTTATTTAATTATCTCCCTCACTTTTACAGTACATCTATTGAGGATTTTTTTTTTAACCTTTTCATTTTTTTTTTATTTGTTCAGTCATGTCGTTAAATAGTAAACATAAAGTGTTTTTTCCCTCCACATTATAAAAAAAAAAAATATACATTTATACTTATTTAATTCACACGTTTAACATATTTTTATCATGGTTTCATTAAAAATTTACCTTTGAATTTATAATGTAAGCATTTAAATCAAAGAATCCTTATATTTTCTCTATACAGTGTTGACAAGTAATACTTATTTATTTATTACTAACCGCACATCTCTTGCTGAGGATTGTTATAAGTAATGCATTGAGCAAGATTCTACCCACCTTGACTTGGTCCTAAGGGAAGCTTCGCAACATATATATGGATGATGTATAATAAATATAATAGTAATCGATGTGATATAAATTCAAATTTGGTTCAGCAGATGGATGTATCAAGTGGTGATACAGTTCTGCCTCATTATTGATAAAAGGTGTTTGAATCAAGTTTTATAAGAACTCAAAAAATGTTACTTATTCACCTTTATCCACTTAACTTCTCATATGAAATAGTTTTGACTGAATGCTAATTTTTTAAACTCAAAAGATATTTGTTTTATGTATAGTTCAGAAGCTATTAGAAACTAAATTTCTATAAGCTCAACTAATTTCTTCTCGGTAACAGACCTATTCATTATGCTCCACCCAAGAATCCCGGATGTATTGTTGAATATTTTATTTTACTGTTTCCACCTTTATTTTTTTTATTGGTGTCCTTTCTAATTTTCAAAGAAATCTATAACTTTTAATGCTTATGTTCCTTATTTTACAAAGGAAACTCTCCATCATTTAATTTTCACTCTCTTCAAACTCTTCACCATTGCTCATTATCATTTTTATGTATTTACACCTAATGTTATCTTTATTTATTTCTTTTTTTATTCTGACTTATTATTATCGGTAATAAATCTTGGTTTTGGCAATGGATTTGAAAAAAAATCTAAACGGACTGCGTAAACTTAATATTTCATTTTTTCAGGTAATTTTTATTTTATATTTTGGACGTTATTAAGCAATATTTATTTTATTTCTTATTGTAAGAAAATTTATCAATTATTTTATTTTTTATTGTCAAGAAATATCACGTTGTCTATGTTACTTTCAAATAAGAGGATGATTAAAGGTTTTATATTTTTATATAATTGTGATAAACACTTTTTTAAATGTTTATATTAATTAACATTTAAACGAGACTTACTTGTATATATTTACCATATTTAGATAATTCTATACTACGCAATGTTTAAGATAATTTAATAAAACCACTGTTAGATTAAGATTGGTGTTAGTTTTCCCTTTATATTTTAAGGATATTGTGAATATAAAACTTTTTTTGTCAATACTGGTTAGTTTGTTTGGGAAACTTTTTATTTGCTTGTAGTCTTTCAAAACATAACTAATCTGCGGATTCCAGATGATATTTTTTTAGATTAAGTTTATTGGAAATTTGTTTTTATTTTTTCTAACCGAAATGCATGAAATAAATAATTATTTTTGATAAGTCACTGGTTGTAATTAAATGTACTTTAGTTTTAGAAAAAATAAGATATCTTATGTCAATTACCATCTCTCTATAGAAGGGTATTAATTAGTTAATTTGCTTAGAAATTAATTCAATTATAAGAAATTATTCATTCTTACAGTATGATTTGTTACTTAAAACTGAACTACATAATATTTGGAAATTTGTAAGAAAAAAGTTGGCATGAAATTGGCTTAATTGATTATAAGATTTTATTACTGCTGCTGTACACTATAAATTAAAAGTGTCTCGTCTATCTGTAAAGTACACGTGTAATGTGATCATTTATAAGGTTTTGTTTAGTTGGTTTTAATTTTGATCTTGCCTAATTAAAAAAAAAAAAATGCCCATTCTGAACTAATGCCTTTTTCATACTGATTTGCTCTTAATGAAGTGTGTATTTTGGTTAAACATGAAATCTTTATCTCAGGGATTAACTGTCTTTAATTCCAATTTTGCTGATTGTCATTTTATTATTCTATCCATGTTTTTCGACCATAACTCTCATAAATAAGTTAAAAGGATAATAGAAGAATAATAGATATGCAATGAATTAAAAGATTAATTATTAACCACAAACAGTGCGATCTGAAACTTCTTTTTGCTCTCCTGTAAAACTTTAAAATGTTGTGACAGTTTTCCTCTCACTTACAGAAATAATAATGCTGAATTAACACTCCATATAATAAGCAATATGATAATATTGCTTAAAAAAAACATGGGATAACGGGATATTACACATATTTCGCATTTTGTAATTACATAGACTTTAAATTAATTACATAATATAATGTTACATATGTAAATACATCTCTGTATGTTATTAAAAAATGTTATAGACAAGTTTTCACAATATATTACATACTTATCTAATTGAAAAAAAAATTGGTCAGATGTAAATTATTAAGTCTGCTGTGTGTGATTTTTTTTTTTATAGACTTTTAATTTGTTTCATAAAGTATATTTTCAGTTTTGTATGATGATTTATTGGTTAAAGGTTATAAATGTTAAAAATTAAAAAAAATATAAAAAGGTGATGAATTTGATATTTATCATCTTTTATTTCTGCTTGTCTGAACTTTAGCATGTACAATTTGTGATATTTTTTAGTCATTATTGGGCCCATTATTTTTATTCGAGTGTACTAAAAATACTTTGATGGGGTTTATCATACTGTGGAGTAGGTTATTTTATGAAAGTGTCATCCTGATGAAATACTCTAAATGGTGCATAATAAATGAAGTAATTTTCTTTGACTTTTTTCTTTTTAATTATTTATTTTGCTGTGATGAATTCTCATTTTATTCTGTAATTCCTATTTTTCCTATAACCCATTTGGAATTCCTGCTTCTTCTCATTCATGTAAAATGAACAGATCAGCAAGAATTTTGTTTGATGAAATTATAGTTAAATTAGCTTTTTATTTTAATTTTATGGTATACTTCTTAGTTACAAGATCTTATGGACTAAGATATATGGCTCAAGAATTTTGGACTGTTTGGAACAGCAATATACTATAATATTAACTCCTAATATGTTGTTTTGGGATATGCAGACTGAAAATAATTTTATTTCATTGTGTTGTAGAGTTTTACTTTTAAAATTATTTTTGAGAGTAGTTATTTTGTTCACTTATTTTTAAAACTTATCATATCCTTCATGTAGTGTGAATGCAATTTAGTAAGTACTATTAGTTTTTGTCTACAAGTGGTAGATTTAAAAATTGTTAGATGGGTTGGCATTATATATATATATATATATATATATATATATATATATATATATATACTCTTATATATATATATATATATATATATATATATATATATATATATATATATATATACTCTTATATATATATATATATATATATATATATATATATATATATGTATATATATATATATATATATATATATATATATATATACTCTTATATATATATATATATATACTCTTATATATATATATATATATATATATATATATATATATATATATATATATATATATATATATATATATATATATATATATATATATATATATATATATATATACTCTTATGGGAAAACGTGTTGTAAAAATATAGTAAAAATGCTAGAAGTTCTGTTTATTTCAAAAATGCTCATTCTTTTTAGATGACTCTGTATTAATTAATTCTATTTACAAAGATATAAATGAAAGAAAATGTGGGAATAGCTATGAAAAACAAAATTACACACAACAAAACAGAAAATATATTTCATGTTAAAAATACACAGTCTAGCTGCAATAAATACTATTTTTGTATAAATATAATTTCTGTTTTATTCTTTCTAATTAATTAACTTCAACATAATTTTGAAAGTAAAATTAGGTGAGGAATTATTATACATGAATCAGTTAATTTGTGAGGAATAGTTGTGCACTGGAGCCAATATTGTTGTCAACATGTCAGACTGCACAAGGAATCGTCACTAATTACGAAAGTCCTTTATCAAAAGTATGTGAGTGGTATTGCTGATTGAATAGACAAAAATGCCGGAAGGGTGTAGATTATCTTTGTTCTTAATGTCATGGTTCATTAACCTCAAGTATATTATAATTATTTAAGAAATGTGTTTATTTAGCTTTACCTACATAAGGGACTGACTTGAAGAATCTTAGAAAACAAAATCAACTAAACAAACAATATGTACTGTTACCCAAGATTCTTGACAGACACAATTATAGGAATTATAATGAAGTAAGAAGATGCATCTTTTCGTTACAAAGTATTGATCCCTTCAAGGTCCTGAAAATATGAGACAGGAATAATAATAACAGGAAAAATATGAAAATACAAGACAGGAAAATAGGGCTCTTCTAAAACTTCTGATATCTAAAAAATTTAACTTGTTTTTCTAGAAACCATTCTACTTGAAAAATAACATGCTACAAATATAACATGCTGATGCTACCAGCCTTCATGATGGTAATAAATTAAGTTTTTATTTTATTGATTTATTGCCTGTAGCTGTCAGGTCTAATATAAAAATACTCTTAAATAAAAAAATCCCTATCATAATATTAATTTAAAAAAAAAAAAATTTTACTTCCTCACTATCAAATGCAGGAAATTGTTTATTCATATATGAATTAAAAAAAAAAAAAATGCTCTCCCCAATCGAAAATTTCCACTTGTGCTTTAAATATCAGATATGAAAGAAATAATTTTATTATATCTCAGTCGATTTTTTAATAGAACAAATCATTTAAGGAGTGTAACACCTACTAAAATGGTAGTAATGCTACTGGTGCTGAAATCCAAGACAAACTTTAATTTTACAGTCCACAGCAGTAAATTATCACCAGCTCTTAAAGCAAAATTATTATGACAATATCTCTGACAGCCTTGGAAGGGATTGGCATAGTAAAGTAAACAAACCTAGCAAAAAAATGAAGTTGCTTTGGTCTCTGTGGCAATGAAATGGGATATAAACTCGCCAGAGATTGCTGGATGTATGTATTGCTCACTGACATACTACAGCGGCCGGCAAGGGGCCAAGAAAGGAGGAGAGAGAAGATGAACAAGAAGACGCAACTAGAAGAAAAGAGAAAATACAAGTATCCCAACCCACCTATAATTAACCTCAGTATATAAAATTAAATGTTATTGTATAAAATAAAGCAATCAATTTTACATCTTCACTCTTTTAATCCATTAGCTTCTCTAATTTTACAGTCCACAGCAATAAATTATCACCAGCTCTTAAAGCAAAATTATTATGACAATATCTATGACAGCCTTGGAAGGGATTGGCATAGTAAAGTAAACAAACTTAGCAAAAAAAATGAAGTTGCTTTGGTCTCTATGGCAATGAAATGGGATATAAACTCGCCAGGGATTGCTGGATGCATGTATTGCTCACTGACATTCATGAAACCGAACATTGTTCCGTAGAGCTAGGAAAAAGGTGAAGAAGAAAAATAAGGCTCTAATACTGGAATCCATAAAGCAATACTGTTAAGAATTAATGGGAAAAAATTAATGATAAAGAACGAATAGCTGTAGACCTGTCAAGAAAAGCAGTTTTGCACTGTTCTCTTATTAATTGGAGTGACAGATTCTCTGTTCTGCAATGAATACAATTTGGGAACAACTACGAATACAGCGCATTTAAATATGCTCTCGCTCATTGAACATAAGAAGTAAGATTCCATCCAAATCGGAATGGTACTAGGCAGTAAGATCTCTAAAGGCGGAAGCGCATAGAGTAATGAAAAAATAATTCTAGAACATCTGGTAAAAATTTTCAGTGATTTATCTTCATCTTTCCGGCTCTAACGGTTTTTTTCCGGGCCAAGGGAGTGGGAGCGGGATTAACACCAGAGTTAAATGTGACCTTTTGCTCTAACATTAGCTACATGTAGAATGTAGATATGATGAAATCAATTTATCATAAAACATGCAAATACACACACACATATAACAATATATATATATAGTTAGTATACACTAACAAGGAGAGGTTACGGACGTGGGGTCACCAATGTCAATGAAACCTTTTGTGGTGATTCTAGTCCGAAAAATATTGCCAATGTGCCCTAGGAGCTGAGAACACAAACAAAAATTTTAAACAAAATTTATGTTATCAATTTTTCCCTTTGCTTTGCTCGAATTTTTAGATTATTATATATCAATCGATTTATTTCCTTGTGAAAAAAAAAATGTCTATGATATTAAGTGACTTATAAAGTATCTTAATTAGCAAAAAATAAAAATGCGCTTCCTGTAAAGTAAGCCTAGTCAATTTTTGTTAAGAAAAAGGAAGTTAGTTCCCTTTTTAGTGTTCTTTAAAACTCTTAAATCAGGGTTGATGGCGAGTCCTCTTCTCTTAAGCTCCTTGGACCACTCCTCCATTGCAACCTGCAGAATATCCTCATTGTCTGCTATCACCACAATGTCGTCTGAATAAACCAAGCACTGGGCCTGGACGGGCAGCATTTTCCAATATACAACGATTGCTTTGGGTGTTCTTCGCTTGCATACCTTCAACACCTTGTCCATGACACTGTTAAACAGAAGTGGACATCTCCTTTGATGACTCCTTTATAAAATCTGATTGAGCAGACTTCATTCCATTCAATCTAACCACGCCTTTTGGATCGTGGTAAGCTGTTTTAATGGCACTAATGAGATTCGCTGGTTCTTATAATTTATATCTTTATTCATAGTTCTATATTTCAACACTGCAATCACCTACTCTGGAATCAACTTACTCACTGTCTGTATAGATATAACTTTTCCAACTAGAAATATTAAATGACATTACTCAAAAATTTTGAAATTGGAGTTAGTCATTCTGTATACTGAAAGGCTCAGGGAATGAAGATGTGTGGTTTATAAAAGCAGATGGAGTAGCTAGATTTTTATTGCCTACCGTCGATATAAAATATAGAGTTTTTGTAATTTTAATAGTCTTAATGATTTGTTATCTGTAAGCTTTAAGCTTTAGCTCCGTTTAAAATGCACTTCAAAAATGTGATAATAGCCCAACATTGACAGAAAATAATTTCAATTCAAGAGCTGTAAGTGAAAGTTGTGTGTTGCGCACACCAGACTTTTTTATTCAGAAAAATAATTATCTGGTAAAACCTGGTTAGAACTCGTTTCTAGGACGTAGCAGCACAGTGTCTGAATTGAAAAAGAAAGTTTATTTGGTCTTATTTGGTGTCTAAAAAAGAGTTCCTTCAATAGTTTCTGATAACAAATATAGTTCCATGCATATTTTGTTTTGGTAAACTTGTTTCTTACCTTTTAAAAAATCATTTTCCTTTTTGAAACATCAGAAAGAAAATAATGGAGAAATTTGTATGTGTATAAATCTGACCAAGTTCCTAAACTCATCGGTGACAACTTTTCGACCAGTTTAGAACGATGGGCTCAGCGCTGAATTATGGAACTTGCCCCATGTATTGTTAAAATTATAAACCTTTTAAAATTATTATACTTTTACCATCTTACAAGCAATAATATTCTTGTATCATTTTATTCATAGATATGAAATCGTTAGTTGCACTAATTTTTTTAATTTCATATTATTGACTAATTTTATTTTAAAAAATTTTTAAAAATACCATTTATATGCCTTTCTATGATTTTTTACGATATTTAAAAAAAATTATGATGATAGTATTTATTATTGTGGGGTGGTAGCACTGGCATATTGCATCGTCACATTCTAGTGTCAGCTGTGTTCCGATGTAATTCGTAACAATCATAGTAATTCAGATATAACTGAAGTCTATTACTGTTAATAAAAACTTAAGAATTTACATATCTTTGAGAAAATAACAAGAAAGCTTCTCAGTTATTACAAAATAAGGTAATGACGAATTTAATGAATCTTTATTTTTAAATTAACCATACCCCAAAGAATGAAATTATAAAACTAAACAATCCTTCTATGATCTATTAGAAGAGAGAATAAACGAAAATTGAATTATTATCTAAGAAGTCATTGTTTAAACTTTGGACCCTACGTGTCTGTGCAAGTTCGAAAATTTTACTTAGCCCTCACATAACAGTCAGCTATGAACCAATGCATTTCGTTATAATGAAATTTATTTATTGAATTTTGTATTCGTTTTGAAAGATGTTAATTGCAACTCCTAATGAATTACTACGTTTGAACTATCTGAGAAAGAAACCCAAATGTTTCTATGCGTTTTACAAATAGGTACTGATAAAAATTTCAAATAAATTATTATTGATAGTTCGATTAACCAATTGTTTTATATACATATATATACTTGTATAATTTCAAGCATGTACATAAATGTTTAACAATAGTCTATGAAGCGGAAGAAAATAATTAAAATTCTTTATTTTTCTATTCTATATACTTTCAACATAAAAGTCCCCATCTTCATTTAATTTTGTTTATATAAATTACTAAATTATTTATATATGTATGTAGAATCTTGAAAGTAAATTGTCCTGCTGTGTTAGAAAATAAATAAATTTATTTTAATTTAACTCATCTAATTTGAACTTTTGACACCACGTTAAGGTGTCAATTGGAACATGGTACTTCCCAGCGTAGTACTAAAATCCGTAAAGATGAAGTTTTCTATCATCATAACAGTTTTACAATTATCAGAAGTTTAACTATACCAATAAATCCTGCCCATAAAATATTTAATAAAGCGGTGAACAATTTACGCTGAATTTGAGTATAAGGTACTGTTCAAATTATTAAACAAAACAAAAACTCTCAGCTTATTAAATTCTCCATTCTTAATTTATGCACTACAAGTATGGATGTAAGTATTTAATAACTGTTCTATTATGTTTAAAAATAAATAAATTTTAATATAGCCCATTACTTTGAACATTGGACCCTACACTTGTACTTTGATCTCAGTTTAGTTGCAGTTCTGTACGACGCACTTCGCAATAATTGATATAGCTCTTTGATATACCAGAAGTTAAACTGCATCTATTAATGAATAGTGATTGTTAAACTATTTAGAAAAGAAATGGAAACTTTTACGCTGCAATGTTGGAAAAAGGTACTGTTTATTATAATATTATGCAAATTATAAAAAATATATTACTGATTGTTAAATTAACCAAATCTTCATATATTAGCTACAATCATGAACAAACGTAGTTAATAATGGTCCAATTATGTTAGGAAATAAACAAATTTTTAAATTTTAATATAGACACTACACTATATACTACACTGAACAATGTACCCTACACTTGTACTTCGCCCTCAGTCTAGTCTTTGTTTTGTACGACGCATTTCGCAATAATTGTTATAGCTCATTGATATATCAGATGTTAAACTGCATCTACTAATGAACAGTGATTGTTAAACTATTTAAGAAATTAATGGAACGATTTCTCTACAATTTATAAATTACATATAGTTCAAATTGTAACATAAATGTTATTGCTTGTTAAATTACCCAATTAATTTATATACGTACAAGCACGGATATGCATATTCAGTAATTTTCCTGTTGCCTTGAAGAAATAGATATATTTATTTAGTTTATTACCCAACAGCTTCGATACTTCGAACTTACAATTAGTCTTGCCATAGCTATGTACCAATGCAGATCGCAAACTTTAATAATATAATAACAGTTTGTGAACATTTAATTCGTTATTGTTCTTAAACTGTCTCATTAATAATAAAACGTTTTCAATCAGTATAAAAAAAGCTACTTAAATTTAAAAAGTAGTAATACGGCTTAAATTGATATGTTTATACAAGCATGCATTACAAATATTTAACAATTTTGATTGAAATTTAAAAAATAAATAAGTTAAATTATGTTCTGTGTAGATTGTAAATTAAAATATTTGAATTCTGAGTTCCACGTTGGAATTCAAACATTGCTGTCTCCGTCTTATAATTCTTAGCTGTTAACAGATACAGTTCGCAATAATTATAACTTTCATTGTAATAGCATTTTAATGTTTGTATAAACGAAGTATTCTTTTTTTTGTTATTTATCTATGGAAATGGTAACACAATAATCTTTTATGCAATTCGGAAATAAGATGTTGATTTAGTCTGTGCCGATGTAGATCCATATTATTATATTATTGTTGATTTCATTTATATTTACATTGAATAAAATGTAATGTTTATCTTAGAATGTCTTTGTAAGTTTGAAATATAACTAATGCTAACTAAATGTTAAAACTTTTGCATTCCAAAATATTACAAACTGAGGTCAACAAAATGCAATATACATACAAGACTTTCAATTATAAATAATAAAGTAAAATACACACACAATTTTAGAAAATATTTATTAAAAATTAAATTAAGTTTAAATGGTGTACAAAACAGCTGAGCTACATCGCTTATTTCAAGTAAGTGACTTTAATTTAAAAAATCTGGTGTGTCCACTCACACGACTTTCCTACCTATTTCAGAAAAGTTTTTATATCTTTACATATGTTCATGCAGAAACAAAAAAGAATTGAACTACATTTATGTTCCTGAAAATTGATCAAACAAAAGATTTGAGTACTATTTATTATATAAACTAAGGCAATGAAACCAGCTTAAGGTAGATCAGTGTAAAAATTTCGATACTCACTAATATTGCTGATCAAAAACTTTTTCCTATAGCTTAGTATTGTCAAGCAATAATTTCTGTTAAAAGTAGAGGAAATAGTGAAGATTGTGTGATGCGGGCTACAGTAAACTCGTAATCTTTCATTGGAAATTGAATAGCTGTAACTTCGTTAATAGTTGTCCAAAATGAACGATATTTATATGGCTTTGTAGGCAATTTCACTACCTTTCAAACAATAGGTCTTTCAGACAGACAGACCAATGGCTAAAAATGTGTTTTACGGACTCTGGAGGCTGTGAAACGTATAGATCCGTCGAAAACCGTATGCCGGAAATTTGACCCGATTGCAATATTTTCCTTACCTAGTATAGGTAGGAAAGTAAAAACATTAATATTTTAAAATTCATATATTAAGTAGCATACAGTATTTAACCCTATTTGTTATTTATTTAATAATAATTTAAAAATAACCAATGATTTTTAACTTGGATAAATATGTTTTACTTAAATAGATAAATGTTGTTTATATGTTGCTTGGAAAGGCGATATACCATTTGTTATTTATTTAATAATAATTTAAAAATCACCAATGATTTTTAACTTGGATATATATGTTTTACTGAAATAGATAAATGTTGTTTAGATGTTGTTTGGATAAGCCCATCTAAAACATCTCGTATAATCATCTTTTCACAAAATGATGATATATTTCAAATAAAAAATTATTGGAAGTTGATTAAATAATTAATTGTTTTATTTCTTTTTTCTGTTCATAGGAATCACTGGAAAGCCAATTCATAAGGCCAAATTTAAGAAGCTAGAACCCTATATGTACTCTTTACCACTGAGGGTGGAGTATTCTGTAGAAGAGCTGCGACAGATTCTTCGACTCACTGGATGGCCGAAGATTCTTCTCCGTGGACTGAACTATTCGCTCTCTGGAGGTCCTGGCAGGCCATCTCATGAAGTTCAGCTCATTCCCTAGTGAATGGTGAGCCGTCCTCAATCTCGCAGGATGGTCGAAAGAGTCCGAATGTCTTTATCTTCTAATGTCTCTTCAGTGTTCGGCTCACCTCGGAGAGGGTCCACGGTCATCTGGGTTCTTCGAGTCCTCAACTTCCTCTGGACCCTTCGCTCCGGCAGTTTTCTCCTTTTCCCGAATCTTCTTGTCTCCTTCCCGAGTCTATCTCTCGTGGTTACTTTTATTCGACCAGTACTCCGCGATCCGTCGTGTTTGGAATTCGAATCGCATCATCGCTGCTGAGCAGTTCTCTTGTCACAGTTGTACACGAAGGAGAACATCGCTCAACTTGTAGGGGTTGAAACTAATAATTGTGCTGTGGTGGTTGTTATTATCTTATTTTAGGGATACATTATTTCCCTAACCGTTGATTAGATATTCCCTTCTAGGTCTTTTGTGACCATATATCCCTTAGCAGCCTAACACTTTTATATTAGCCTCACAACAATCACCGCAACCACCACTACTTAAATTTCACTGGAGTTATATCTGCAACTGCTCGGATTTCAATGATATGCTCTATTTACAATTGCAGACGTGTCTTTTAAAAAATAACTGTGGAAAACTATATATATAAAGAAATTGTTTATTTCTTTTCACCCCAAATATTTGAGAGCTCGTTAGTGCTCTTGTATAAACCTATGTGGTTTGTCTTCTTGAGATTGGTAAGTGTGAAAGTTATAATTGTTGGTTTCTATACATCAGCAGACTCTATAGTCGTCACTTGTTTTAGTTTTTAATGTAACAATCGATTTGTTAGAAAAACATTCAAAATTATTTTCTCCTAAAAGGTTTATTAAATCCGTGCATAGTGTTTGGAATTTAGTTATACTTTTTATTTTAATTGGAGGTGGTTGATGAGCAACTATTGTTTCGTCAGGTTCATCTTCCATTTCGGTAGAAAGAGGTTCAAATATATAACTGACTGGAACATTAGGGATTTTATTTATTGTTGTTGGAATATATGTTGCGCTAACATTTTCTGGTACTGCAGTGTTGTTAGCATCACGTTCTAGTGTAGATTCAATGATATGTGTAGTAGAGTTATTATTTCCAATAATTAAATTATTCATTTCAGTATTCGTGGAGTTAGGAGGTTATGTAAATTAACATAAGTTTGCTTTTTGTTAGGAATTTTTGATGTAGTTTTTATCACAGAATTTTTTTGAATTCGCTCTTTTTTTTTCATCTGTTCCGTCTTTCCATGAAATACTTGAATTCTATCTTACCTTTCTCTTCAGCAGTTTTGACAAAACGGCCTGATTCATCAGCTCACTCGAGCCAGCTAACTGGCGAGCACTCATAAGTAAAGTGTCTATTTTCACTTTAAAAAATTATACAAAAAGATCATACCTTTAAAGAGAACACATTTTCACTATAAGACACATTACGAATACAAGAATTCAATTATTTATAAGAAGAAGAATTTTTTTATCAACCGTACTGTTCAATCGTAACAGCTGTTTCTCCAAACAAAATAATTATAATAAATTAGACGGCTATGATAAACATATGGTAATTAATTATTTTAAATAATGTTTCTTACCGTCTATAATTTTTATTTTCAATTCCCTTTGTCTTAAAATATTTATTCTCCTAAGAAGAGAGTGGTAAGCGAAAGTAGTATGTTGCACGCACCACACCAGATTTTATTATTTTTTAAATCACCACGTGCCACATTGAGATGGAACACATTCAAAATATTGAACTTATTGCTGCTTTTAAATATCTCAGAAATGTGTATTATTTTTTGATGTTGGAAGAGATGAATTGGGAGATAAACTGTTTCACGTTATCCTTCCCTGGCTATACCCTTCCCATTAGCTTCTTTGGTTTTAACAAGCGCGAACTGTTTTTTTTTTTTGTTTTTAAGTTGTTTTATTTATTTTTATGAAACTATTATTTTTTTCAATGAAATTCTGTTTTATTTGGAATTTATAATTAATAAAAAAAAATGTAAAATAAGATCATAAAAACTATGAAGTAGTTTGCATCAAGATTTCACTATTTCTCTTTGAGGTGGATTATGGGCCTGTCTATATTTCCGCTGCTATACCATACTGACTCTACCTAGCGCGATGTGGGGATATGGTACTCTAGACAAACAGTATAAAACAACTTGGATTGAGTCAATTGAAGCCAGTGCCTCTGGAAGTTATTGATAGCTTTGTTGGCTTTGTAGTAGCCCAACAGGATATTGTGCCATTGTAGTTTCAAAGCAATCGAAACTATGAGGAGGCAGTTTGGAGCAAGTTGAATGCAGAAACTTGCTCATTGTTTAGACTCGGGCACGTCCTCAGGGGAAATGTTAAGCAACCGTCTTCACCTTTCTTACGACTTCTGTTTGATTTGAAATTCCGCTTCCCCACTTCGCCGTTAACCACCTCAGATCCATCTGCTCTAGCATCATGGTAGTAATATATTATAAAGTATCAAATGAATTTTATCTATTAGATTACTGACATTCACTTAAAAAAAAAAAAATAGACCAGTTGTATTTCATAGGCCAAATAGATCAGCCTCATAATTATATAAGTATATTTATATAAGAAATGAAATATTCACAAACAGGACAAAAGCAAATACTAATTACTCTATTCACAGAAAAACGATCAAAAATATTTCGCTTTGCTTAAGGGAGATAGCATGAAGGGAATCATCCAACCGACAGCAACTTTGCAACATAACAAGGTCTCTATGCTGCAGCGACAGACCACACTTAAGGCCTCTACGTGCAGGGCACGATATATCTCGGTTAAACGAAATTCTTATTGGCGGCGATATGGAGATATAATTATCTTTAGGAATTTTTTCGTCGATAGTTTTTCAGTTCCTTTGAAACTAAAACTTTTACCGAAGATGCAAGACACAAGATACATGCATCTAAAACACTGGACTATGGAATTGAACGAGAGCATTCACACCGAAGATGCAAGTATGGTCCAGCATTCTGGATGATAGTCACACTTGCCCCTTGAGAACCAGCCGGCTGGATTTCAGTGTGCACTTTTGTCGTGCTGGTCTTATATTACTTGCCCCTTCCACACACCCCTGACTCACTCGACTTTGACACGCTTGACTCGTCCATTTTTTTTTCAGACTTCAATTAGATGTTGTGTTCCAAGTAAGGTTCAATGAGATCCAAGAACTTGTTAAAAGTCGAAATCTCCATTTTATAATACGCCTGAAACTTTACTGGATGGTTCAGGAATTGCTGAGACACAATAGCAGAGCTATGATCTTCAGCATGCTGCCATAAGCGATTGGCTCTTTGCCTTTGTTTTCTGACTGCACAAGACAGTATTATAATTTCGTCACGTGAAGAGTAGGATGATTGATTGTTCATATTTCAAAATCACGTACTAAACTAAACGGAGATAATGGAAATAAACAGAAGGTACAAGTGGCAAGTGCATCTTTGGTGTGAAAGCCCTTTCATAAAGATGCAAGACGCACATGCATTCTGCATCCAGGATGAATCCATTTTGCGTCTTGCATCTTCGGTTTGAAGGGCCCGGTAAGGTTTTACAGAGGTTTTATTTAAAAGTTCTGTTGATTTCACTAAAAAGTTTATCTAAAATCTGAATTTTATTAATAGCTAATCAAACAAACGGTGAATTAGAATCATTTAAGAAAAACGGTAACTTTAATCCAAGCCCAATTACTGTTTATTTTTCATTTAACTAAATTTTTTGTAGGATTTGAATAAATATAAGCTAAACTTTTTTTATAAAATTGGAACTTTTAATTTAAGAACATTTTTTCTTAAACGTTTCACAGAAACTAGTAAAACAGAACCGTTTTAATAAATTCCATAAAGGTTTTAACGCCTGATTATATTACTATCTATATCATTATAGCAGTCACACAGTGTGCAATAATCCAAAGCGATATTGAAAAAGTATATCGTACCGCCAGAACATATCGCTTTCTGTGTTAAGGGTCCTTTGTCACCATAGCACCCTGATTGATCCCTTTGGTGTCGAACTGGTGTGCCCTTGCAACCGATGCCCTCGTGTTCAATGACAGTAACAAATCGGTCTAGACCCGTGGGTTATGGCTGCTCATAGTCAGCCATAGGCGCATGAGGATCTATATTTCTTTCCACTAAACCAAGCGTCCAGAGCAATCCTGTGACGAGCTAATGACATTCAGGGAGAGCACATCGCGATTCTCCATTTAGGTACACGGGCTGACGTCTCTCACATACTCGAGAGGCGGGGGATTACCAATGGTTGTAATTCCTTTGAATTAGGATAAAACCTCTAAGAGTAACTTGAAGCGTCTTTTGGCTATTGTAATTTCTTATACGTTTGACATCCACTTCATATAATGAACAATATGTTTTCTTATTTTACTAAAAAACGACTCACATAATATGATCAAGAAATTCACGAAGAACCACAAAGATAAATAACATTAGTATAAAAAAAAAAAAATCGAAATTGAATAATTTTTTTCCCTTGGCTCCTGGGACACAAATCGGACACAAGCGCATTGACACAAATCGATCATCGGCCACGGACGGCCCTAATATTTTTCTACATAGCAGCACCAAACATTTTTTTAAATCGCTGATTGCACGTCGATGTAGACTAATACTTATCTGTAAAGTGAGAGGTACACAACTGCCAATTTAGACTACGTTTTGATTATCGATGTGAGGTGTGATTTTTTTTAATGGTATGTAGACCATAGATTCCAATTCCAGAAGAAGTTAGTGGGGGAGGGGTGCGATCTCTGTATAGAATATTATATTATATAATAGCATATTTATTGCATTATCCGACGTTTCAACCTACGTTGTAGGTCTTCTTCAAGGTTGGAAATAGAAGTTTGAGACTGAAGAGGTCAGTGTGTCATGTGAAATATTAGTTGAAGACAGTGAGGAGGAGTGTGAAGACAAGTAGTCCGATGTCGGAGCTGGATGTTGCGGAATTCTGAATGATTTATGACATCTAGTGCTGCGATCAGTGGTGTTGTGTGAAGTGTGCTGTTGATGTGAGAAGATCGGTTGTTCAAAATTTCTTGATCTAAGCTTAAGTCTTAACTGCTACCGGCAAAAAAAACCATTTCTGTCTTAATTCTTAGCGTTCGAAAGGAGCATTTACTCCTGAGAAACTTTGTCATTTACATTAAAAGGACAAAGAATGTTTGAGTCTAAGATAAACCAAATTATTATTCCTTGGTTTATTTTGGTTTTCATGGTCTTGGAGTACGACTAGGATAGGAAGGGTGCGATGTCCTTCATCATAATAAATCATAGTAAGGTATCTACCTTACCCAGATGGAGAAAGTCGAT